TATATCCCAATGGCTCTGGAATGATATCCAACTTCATGACACTATCAGTTGATTGAGACAAATATGTCCTCTTGTTAAACATAACTTATGCTACATGCCGAAGTATAGCCATTGAAACTGACCTTGACACGAGGAGATGCATTGCTCTAGCTATTGGCGATACGTAAATACGCTTTGTGGCATTTCGACTCCTCTGATGGATTTGTGTTGCCATGTGCCATGTTTTATCGATTCCCTCGTCTCGTAACAGCTAAAAATGATTACTCTGGCTAGAAAGAACCTTAACCTGACCGATAGGCCTAGGTAGCTTTTAAAAATTGCGTCGCAAAATGTATACACGTTTTGTCATTCGGTTATTTCGCTCAACATGTGTTGTTTCATTTGGCCCCCACCCTAAAAATAATTGCCACATACATCGCATTAAAATAATAGTATCCGTAGGCGTACCATATAAATACTGTGTTAGAATTCTCGTGTGTATATTATTTGTAGTCCAAAGTTTACGCTGTTGCGAGGGTATCTCTACCCGTTAGTAAAACGCTCTACTCTCTAGCTTTTACTAGTAGAAATTACTATCCACTAACAAGTTTTTACCCATAGTTGCTCACCTGTTACCTCACACAGCTCTAAAAAACGTTTGCTAGGAAGAAGAGGATTAGCGGGGTCAAAAAGCAAACAAAATAGTAATCTACAACGCTTTTTTTTATCAATTGAATTTTTGCTGGTCTAATATATTCGTTAAGTAAACTGGCCAAGAGGTCATTAAAGTATGCAAAGCATAGACCTTTATTCGATGTCTGCAACCACCGAGTACTATTACATTGGGACTTCTCTTTATGTCTATCCCATAAAAGCGTTATTTACTACCCATATAAACATCTTAATGTGACAGGGTGATGTGTACTTTGATTACCACCGTTATTCATACACACACACACACACACACAGTTCGTCCCTAGATCTGTCCCAAGAGCCAAGAGTTCTTGTCGGCTCATGTGACTGTTGTTGTAAAATTATTTTTTCAAACTTACCTAATCTACATTGCATTGATAGAGATCGATGGCACCGGCCTGTTCGGAGAACTGGCGGGGGCCACAATGACCCAAATCCTGCTTTGCTATGAAGCCCATACTTGGCTATTGCACGTTGACTTTTATTCGTACATAATAAATACGTCCCACCCGAACCAAGCAGTAACCGGCAAATGCGTAACATAAAATACCGAATACGTAATGGACGAACCCGGACAGAAGAACTGATGAAGACTACGTGTTTTCTTCGCACATTACACACGCCATATACACGCACACGTGTCATCAAATCATCGGTATGCGTGGCTATTATTATGTTACTTTTCGTTTTAGAATTTGCCTCATTTATGTCCCGACCTTGTTTTTTTATACGTAGCGCCCGAGCAAATTGTTCGCCAATAATAACACGTAGCAAACTGCATTTCTACTACTCGTATCCGCTAGTTGGCAGGAAATGCGTTAAAAAGTAGACCTGTAGGTATTACTCGGTACTTTCTCTTAATAATGATTCTCATATATACTCCAGACGTGTAAATTATCTATTTCCGCACAAATTCGTATATCCTTCGTTGCCCAGTTCTCTGTGCACACTGCTTATATAGAATTTTAAGAACAAAAGGTTCTAGAGCCTCTCGTCAATATACCTCTATATTTAGAAATTTACATCCGGTTTCACCGTTATGCATAGTTCCATCAGACGGCTAGCTCCTAGTTCGAAACGAAATCTGTTTATGGCCAGTTCGAACCTAGAGCTCAGCGTGTGCCTAAGGTTAGCGGGCACACACGTTTCTTTTTAAGCTATCGGGGAAGCCCATCAATATACCTAAGGCCGCTTTTGAGCCTCGTTGACTTTGACCTTTTAAAATACGTTCGTTTTTTAATAGAGTTGCCGTGGTACTATTTTATATTATACGACATATTCCGATACTATTCTTAACGACTTCAACTCCGCTCCGATAAACAGTGTTTTTTTTTGAATGTAGCCATAACTAGCGATGACAGCTGTTACTACGTAAATTATTGGGTTACCTCAACCCCTTCCATCAATCATATCAGTTTACTAATGTCCTTGGAGTATAGAATGATTGAGCTAAGCTGCCTACTCTTGCAGAATTTGATTGATTTCAATGGCATGGCACCGCGGCTATACTGATCCAACGAGGTGTAGCCCGACGCTTAAGTGTGCCTGAAACTGTTCACCGACTAGTTCTCGTCACTTCGTTGAACATCTTTTCCGCTACCTGTGACAGCTTACTACGAAGACATTAACGAAAGACTGAGTGGAAATGATGAACAGATTCCGCGTAAAGACACGTGGCTCTATTTTTTTGTGCACGAAACCTTATCGTCACCGAGGCTTATAAATGGCGCGCAATAATTTATAAAGCGATTTGCTGAAAGTCACTTTATCTTTAATAATAAATAGGTTCGCCCTATAATAGATTAAATTCCTTGGAAGACGCCTAGTCTGTTTGTACATAGTATTGTATTTATGGGATTCCAATTTCGAGCTCACTAACCGCTACCTAATATCGATACGTAGGAGCACTAAAGAAATACGTAAAGCTTATTTGGTGTTTAAACTTCCGTGTAGATAATACATCTGATGGCCATCGAAAGCTAATGGATACCGATATGGGCTAATGTAATAGAAGATGTGGTGTAATGAGTGACAAATGTAAGATCTTCAGTCATTATCTTCTCATTCGCGTTCGTTTTCGTAAGTAAACATCGGATAATGTTGTTCGTTTAATCAACGATTATGTCGACAACGTTTTGACAATGTATTCCTATTTTTTATGCACTCTATGGTTACGTTCACGCTACGGGATCACGTAAGCCCTATCTATCTAGCCACGTGCTAATACATCTTACAGAATCAAAATGTTCAATAGACATGCTAAAGTATCTAGGCCACATACGTGGACTGTCTTTCGAATGTCCATCTACCATCTTGAACAGTCAGTAAACCATCCCTGTGATGTGAAATCTCCCTACTTTTCGGAACAAATGTCCTTAATAAACTATGTTGTACCAACTAGTATCCAGCCGCCACAGAATCTACATGGACAACCGTTATGTCTTCAACTCTAAATAACCCGTGTATGTATCCTATAGCCAAAGAGCAGGTGGCAATGAAACACGAAAAACAAAATTGACGGATTGGGCTGGAACACTGGGGGGTTAAGATGCACTTCTATTCTTTTTGACTTTCCCCGCCACTACTATAGTTTCTCTATCCCGCCATAACAATAAGCGAAACAACAAGTCGCTTTAGGAAAATGCCATAAGCCGACCAGTCGAATCGTGACTACCTTACCGAATAGTACACAAATGACGGTTTCGATCATTCTCATGAGCTGCCGAATCAGTTAATATGGACAATAAAACAATTTGTGAGGTCGGCTAATCGATATTGTGTTTCGTTCGTTCGTTCGTTAATATATTAACGCATTTCATTGCTTGCGGGGAGAGAGAGAGAAGCAGACATATCTGCCGTAATATTGCATCTATCATTCGATGCGGACGTACTTGTTATTATTACATCTTTCATCGTAGGAACTCAACGGGCACGTATCGACAAAGCTATGCCTTTAAGTTTTTTCGATCTTAAAGGGCCTCAAGAACTAATCTTATCCGCACGATGCTATGGACCTACAAACGAACCACACGTATATAATGCGAATAATCTTTGGACGTGGGGTTACATATATCTTCATATGGGAGTAATTCGAAATGTTTTCATGTGTGATGTAGTATCGTTTATGTAGCGATTGTCCCCCGCTCCCCTCACGCTTTCCTAGTTCAGATGAACAATATTCGATCCAAGTTTTAGCATCTGGCTGACGCTGCTGTGGCTCAGTATGGAATCACCACCTATAGGGACCTCTATAGGGACTGCTTCCTGTCAAGCTCGTGAGCCGTACGTACTTTATATTGGTCGTGAGCTGTGGATAGCTCCCACTAGCAGCTTTTAGCTTTATAATCGGCAAGTCCACTTACTGGTCTCTTGAAACAACAACAGGAATTTGCACTTCCTACCTCGAAACTACAGACCTGGGAACTTGACTTTATATTTTCTTGGTCTAACTATGTATATATCTGTGAAAACAAAGTATTCCTGTGTTAAAGATAGCCTTTGGCTTCAGTGACTAGTAGGGCATAAGAATTTAATAATAATTTATAGTAGCATAATAATATAATAGTAATAACAGAAAAGACAATCCATTTTCGCATTGATGTATATAGGAAAGCCGTATTATTACCTGCTCCTGATTCATTTTAATCCGCAAACTTTGATGAGGCATCACATACCCGATGAAATATTTTTAATATCAGGTCAGGTCAGGTCTTAAATTAAGTCAAAAAGTTCATGGGTAAAAAAAATAACACTTTTTGGAAGGCTAGTTCGTGTATGATTGTTTTGATTATCATACTAGTACATTTTTAGATACAATTATCACATATGCCAAGCTTCATTGCACTGGCTACATTACAGCGAGGAATTAATTTTACGGTTTGCGGTTTAAAGCTGTATTTTCTCTATAGCGTTTACTGTCTCCTACACCCTAGGATGGAAAAAGGTACACTGTGCCTCTTTGCTATAGCTGCTGCGACAAAGAGGGCATTTTATTCAGAGTGGGATTGCAGGACGCCACACGCAGGATGCCACCGCGCGGAATGTGTCGAATAACATCGTAATAATATACTTGAGCATCATAAAAACGTTTCCTCTATGAAAAAAAACCTAAGACAAATTGAACTTTTCGCATGCAAAAATACCTCTCGTTGACAAATGTGTGGATAACAGTGTTGCCCGCTACCTTTTCATAGGTTCACGTTTTTCAGCTACAGAAGCTCATATCAGTTTAAAGCAAATAATCTTGACTTTTCCATTGTCTCATTTGACATAGTAATTGCACCGTAAAATAAAGAAAAGAAAGTGGTAAAAACAGCGTCGTTTTAGTTAAAGCTTTGTTCTAAGTTTCGTGCACAAAAATTATCTTTATTTACTTGTTTCGCCTTATTAATACGAGCTGTGTGTCTATTGATGGCAAAATCGAATCAGCGATGTCCTGGCTTTGTTTCTAAATGACGGGTCGAAATATGGATAGGGAATGGCAATCTAGTCTGGAGCATTATGCTTATGTACAAAATCATCTATCTATTAGTTGGCATAGCAGCTATTTGCCTCGTTCTATTTTTGGCCTTTTTGTCACACATATCTACCTCTACATTGAAAGAATGGCACGAATATTTTTCGTCAGCGTCTTCACCGTCAGCGGATTGTCGTACTAGAGCTTACTTTATAGACACCCCCGTAGAAAAATAGGGGAACACGATTTAGGGACCGTCCGACATCATTTTCGTAGAGATCAGCGGCTTACTGAACTAACCCTTCGATGACATAGTTACTTTACTAATTTAGTGAAGGGGGTGGACCATTTTACTGACACCACATGTCTTGTGAACTTTTTTCTACGATAACAACGGGAAAACCTGGAATCATCTTTTAGTAGCGAACAGCACCGCATCGGGCAGTGGGCTTTTTGGGATATAAACCTTTTTCGTGGGCAGGCCGGGAATTTTCGGTCTGCGATAATACACGGACAGTGGACGAACTTAAAGAAAACACTCGTGCAACCATGGTTAAAGTTATATGCGAAAAGATCACTCATTGAACACTGTGTGAAGCATATAACTGGCGTGATAAATGCTAAAGGAGTTTATGTTATTGATGTTATATTTAAATCAAATCTTCAATGTATGAAGCTTTTAATAAAGATTTGTGCTAGTGCACTCAGTCATCATTGTGAAACTATTTCCGACCAGGTAACTGTTCTAGAATTTGTTTTCGGATATTCGTACGCTGTGTTTCTGTAATATGAATAGAAACTAGAGAAAAATCAAGCTCTTGTTATCTCGCAGCCTTTTGTTAGTATGACATAAATAATAATATTTATTTAATACAATGCTTAAATATCCCGCTTCGAGCAATACAAGTAAGTAGAGTCTTCACTAAGCCTTCACTAAATGCCTAATTCTTACCAAGACCACCCTTTCCGAATTAAGAAACCGTTAGAGTACGATCTTTTATAATCAATAGGATTTCAATTTGTAAAGTGACAATCCAAGAAATTGCTCACTTAAATCGAGTTCTTATCGCATCTCTGCTGTTATATACATAACAGAAATAATGATTTGAGACAGCTGCATAATAATAATACCAGGTAATAATATGACTGCGTTTTATACAGGAAGATTTTGCCAGGCTGTGTGGGCAATTTGATAAAAGAAACAAAGTAAAAAAAAAAAAAAGAAAAAGTGTACAGTCATGTACGTCCGATGAAACTCTAACATTCTATATCGATTTGTATTCGTCTAATTTCTGCTCTGCCGCAGACTTACGCCCTTCGAAACGAAGTACTATACAGATTATTATTATGGAAATAATACACACAAACTTTATCGTGAAGTGACGGCAAAGTTTAACGGCCAAGTGCTACATTGCACTTACGTTGGTGACCGAGAGCTCATAGCGGGTCTTATAGGAGATACCGACACGAATATTAACGGTAAGTACGATACTCAACTAAAAAAACACAACTTATCCGATCTGTAAGTGTCTATAAAAGGCAATCGAGTAAGAAACGTAACGACAGCTAGCTTATAAGTTGTTATATAGAAAAACGATCATCATCCGTAACTTCGAAGTTCAACCTCTCCATATAAAATAGTAGTTTATTGTTGTTATTTCAATGGCTATAATTGACTGGTTGACATCAAAATGCAACATATAAACTTAATAGTTTAATATCATGAAATATAACTTTCGTTTTTTTTTTCTAACAAAATAATTTGCCTCTTTTTGTCGTGTATCCGTTTGAAGTTGTAAGTAATTTATACAGTACAAGTCTTGTATCAGATAGCGTAACATTATTTATATCAAAATGATTTTTATACGCGTGAAGTAAAGAAAAATAGCCTCATTTGTTAATGTTAAGCCGAACGCTACAAAAGTTGTATGGAACAGCAGCCATGATATGATGTAGGGTAGGAAAACAAATACATTTAAGATACTTGTTTATTTGTAGCCCTAGGACTGTTAACTTTCATTTTCTGTTATGTCAAGTCGATATCAAGCCTTATCGCCGACATGATTATATAAGCATTATGCGTATTAATCGTATTGATTGGCCAAAAGTCTTAAAAATGATAGAAAGCAGTTTTATTATCTTTTTTTTTGTAATGCAGAATTTACGCAGCTGGGCAGCTGTCTCTATGCCTCTGTTTTCAGTTTATCTTGATGAGCTAACGGGGCCGATTCTATGAAAGGGTATTGCTTTTTTCAGTTCTGTTTTGGTAACTGAGGGCAAGCAGTTGAATTGTGTTATCATGCCAACATTTACATTTTAGGCTCTTAAATAAAGAAAAAACCTAGTTACAAACTCTGTTATCCGTCTCTATTTCGCGTTTCTTGATCTCCTTCGTTATACTATCGCCAAGTAAATAAAATTTGTTAATTTATGATCTTTCCACTTTTTCATTCCATCAAGATTCTGCGTGGTACGTTCGCTCACTGTACAAACAGGACATTTTTGTTCCTAAATTTACCTAATGCAGAGGTTTTTTTTTGCTTTCGTGTGCTACTTTTCTGATCGTAGCCCAAACAGTATTGCCTTTTAAGGTGCTTAAGGTGTGAGTACCAAATCTCAGAGAGGGCTTGCCTAAGAAGCCTGGCTGCTTTCCTAGGTACCAGATGTTTTCTGCCTATATCATTAACAAACGTATTCTTTTTCAATAAATGTTAACTTATGAAAATTAATCTATCATTGTTTTCGGCTGTTTTATTGGTGTATTAGAGGCGCTTTCTGGGGTACTTCCTAAGACCTTCATCTCGCCTATCAATGTAACTACCGACGAAATTGACCAAATGATCGATAGCTGCCTTAGCACACCACCAAATGCAACTGAATCATCAGTACCTGGCTTTAAAAAAATTATCGACGGTATCACGGATGGTGCCAAGAACATTGCCAGCTATTTGTTCATTTTCCCGGGTGAGCTGGGGTTATTTAATTTTTTATTATAGATTAACACACATATGAACTGTATGGAGTGATGTAAGCGACCATATATAAAGCTAAATTTATTATATCTATAATATTTTCTAGATAGCTTACTTGTCTCAGTGTCCCAACTTAATTCAATTATGTATGTATGTATGTATGTATGTATGTGTATTTTTTTTGGACTACCCACTATACGGGCTCACTTATGTACGTCGGACAGCTTAAGCGTCTGTACAGGTATACGTTAGCAGGGCTATACTCGATAACATTGCATGTGTGTTGATGAACGAAACAGGGACAAAATGGTGCGGGCCTGGAGACGTTGCCCGAAATTACTCGGACCTCGGATTAATGAAAGAAAGCGACAAATGCTGCCGTGATCACGACCACGCCCTCGACTCGATTCCCCGTGGAGAATCCCGTCATGGTCTCGAAAATCCGCTATTCTATACGATGTAAGCGTGTGTTGTTATTGACGACTGATAGATTGATCGCCTTACCTCACTTACGGATTAGAAAATTTCCAAAAACGTTGAAGAACGATGAAAGATCCTCTCTGCTTACGATAAACCAAGCATATATGTCAAGTTATTAACGAAGATTAACTTAGGTAAGTTAAGAAACCTCTGCATTGAACGTAATCTTACAATGCTAATAACCGAGGTCGGTATTTGCCTTTTTCATTGTACAAAAACTCTCAAGCCGATTACGCTGATAATGATGAAGCGATGACTTTGACAAGCCTAAGTTGATATGGCTGTCGAGACGACCTATCAGAGTTCCATTGTCTAACTTATGAAAATTGATCGATCATTGTTTTTGGCTGTTTTATTTGTGTATTAGAGGCAAAGCATTCAGTTCTCATTATGGGGGGCCTTTTTCAGAACCAATTGCGCTGACGACAACAAATTCTACAGCTGTTTAAAGGACAGCGAGAGTGCGCATGCCAGTGCAATCGGAACCATGTACTTCAATATTCTTAAGACTAAATGCTTCTCTAAACGGAAGCAGGCCCGCTGTGCTAAGAAGTTGCCGTAAGTTTACGAAGTTATGCTCCATCACATGGTAATACCCATATCTACTTTTTGTTAAGCTGAACAAAGGTGCAAGCCAGCCACTCTAAATCACAATACTTCATTTGTCGGCTTGTCTATCTGGCTGTAGTCACGGCTAGTGTCCTTTTATCAGCACCAGGCACTTAACTGAGACGAGTGGTACGTTGCTATGAAATGTCTTAGAGCTGCATTATTAAGAATACCTATTTTCGCCTCTCGCACATAGTCCCTATGTCTGATCAGATTGTTATACGGGCGTCTATCAAAGTTCGTTTTTGAGCTTGAGGCGCGGATGTTTTTCTATAGTATACAAAAGGGCTTTAGAGAGCCTTATCTTTCTAAATGAAGTACTAATAATCTAAATGAGAGCTGGGCTGTTCAAGTAAATATTACAAAACATCGAATCACCACCGATACTGTATTTGGTCCGTAAGTCAGGATTGTGAAAACGAATCCCTTGATTCTATTTTTGTTATGATGATCTCTTTCATGAAAAATCTGACCGACGCCCCGTATTTGCCAATACATATAAAGGCTATCAGATGTGATAAGGAATTAGAGACTAAGAAAAGTACTTCCTTTTAGCACTAGTGCGTTATCCTCGAGCATCAGACGTGGGCAACGGTAACAGTACTTTGGTGTAAAGCAGTTTATTTTCGAAAGCCCTAATAATCGCTTATACTCATCATCCTAAACGTTGTTACTATATCGTTTCGATCTCTTACAGATTCTCTCCATGTCAGAAATATACGTACGATGAGTCCTCCGAAGAGAAGTATCAAATATTTGACCCGGTTAAATATCAACCAAATGCATCGATACCGACAAAGATGATCAATAACTTCCTCTTCACAGTACCAGGAGTTGACAACGTAATGAAGTTACTCTAAATAATTGTGAAGATAAGATGTGCTTTGCAAATCCTAATACTTGAAAGGAATCTATAAGCTTTGTGCTAGTGAATAAACAGCGAGCTTTTTATTATCACATCTTAATGCAGTCTTCAGAACAAATGAGGTGCATCATAAGGTAACTACTATTTCGTGGATTATTACTGAGGTAGTATATTACATCACACCCTGAAGTGGCTCTGAGCAGATACATTTTCGAACCTCTTCTTCAGAACTTTGGCATCTTCGCATGATTAGGACAATTTTTGAGCATTTAATGGAAACCAATTTGCCGTTAAGTGAAGCTAGTATTTCTGATACAGTCAGAAGGGTTATTAGCATTGAGCCTTGGAGTAGAGAAAGCGTGATGATCTAGGCCCTGGATTTGAAAAAATCAACAGGTCAGGGATTTGAAATGCTGACTATTCTTTTTTTTCCGTGTTCGTTATAACGAACCAGAATCTGCTCGTTGATTTTAACGAAAGCAATGAAATTGTGAGGAGCTGCGGTACTGCTTACAACCTCCGTAAACCTATCCGAACGCGAGAAATATATTGTTGTAACTGTTCTGCAAGAATTGACCCGGTTTCAGATTTGTAGCCGACTCGAATCCATGAACCTAAACTTAGTGTTTATATTAAGCTAAACTCCTGGACTGGTTTTAACTGTGACGTCTTAAATCCATGTTTGTACCGCAACCGTTTTCGAACTTAAAGAAACGCCGGAACGCTAATGGCACGTGTGCTAATAAAATATCTAAACGAATAGTAGGATTACCGCAATGAAAACGCTTAATCAGTAAACCTCATAAAAATAAAACAAGTCGCAGAGATGTTATCTTAACGTGTTTCAAGGATCAACGGCAATTTATTCAGTAATCGGAACAAAAAGAAACGTTGTCATAGTGTGATCAATTCCTCTGTCGTCGTGCACAGATATAATAATGAGAAATTAAAATCTTGTAATGTTAGGAAGGTTGTCCTTTTTCTGTTTCGTGAAACGTAAGTATCGGTGTAACGCTTATAAATATCTACAAGTAGCTAGTCATATTTTCTAACAAATTATACGTGTTGAAGTGTATTGGATCACCTATTACTATTCACAATGATCTAATTCGGGAAACAAAAATTCCATCGGTGTGGAAACGCGTATCCTTAAGTAAACCATAATACTGCGTAATAGGAGATGATCAGGGCTAAATATTCCAGACACTGCCCTAATCATCGTTACTCGAACTGTACGCTTATATGCACGATGAAACTTTGTTGACAAAGCGATACTCTTATCTACTCTACAACGCGCCTATTCCATTTACGTACACAGACCTACGCACACTGCCGCACTCACATCAGACATCGATAGACGCTATGTCCGTCGTATCGGAGTACCGCCAGCTAACTTCGGTTCGGCCACCATTTACAGTCCCAGACAACAACTAAGATAGTGATAGTTTTGGGCGAGAGAGCTGTTGCAATAAGAACTTTATCAGAGTCAACGCTGCTGCCGGCGACGGTGGCGATGGACGCTTTGACGCCAGCTGCCAGCAAAGCGGCTACGATTTCTAGCTACATCAGCTTTATTTCATGTACTGATCTAAATATATCGACCAATGAGAGTGGGTTGTCAGTCAGTCCGTCTGTCTGTCTGCGGTCACACAACCGGACAACTTTGTTTGACAACGGCGATCTTTTAGCCGTCCACCACTAGACCCCCAAAGTTTCGCCTGAGCCGCCTTTCATTTTTGTCTGCTGGAGTATTGTGCCGCGGAGCTATCTTCTTCCTTCAGCTAGCAGGAAAGCTTTTCCAACTGTTGACAAGCGAGACTTGTTGTAGTTGGTGTTGTCGCTTGGCGTCCACACAGAGAAGCCGGACGCCGTGCAATGAAGTACCTACTTTGTAAACTTCTATACACTCACTCTGTCAGAGTTGTATCCTATGGTCATGATGGTGCTCCGGCGATCTGTGAGTTCGATCTATCGGATGCTGTGTCAATCATATGCTATATCACTGCGATAGAAATCGCAGGTTTCTTCTATGTTATAATACATTAAACACTGTAGGATACCGCTAAGAGTTCTATGTATGATAATGTGTAAGATTATCTTCCATTTGATCCGTGTTTTGCTAAGGGAACTAAATTTCTACTTTCTATTTCTATCTTGAAGGTCCACTTTATACATTATCGTTTAAGGGTAGCATTTGCAATGTATTGTTCTCTTATGTCGTAGTTATTTACCGAACGAGGATTAGAAAGATTTCGCTATTAATGATCCATAGTCAGCATGATAGCTTATGTCATCACAAATTCATTTTGCTACAATGCCAGTAGCGCGTGCATTAATATAGTGCACGTACACGATATGTGTTTGTCAAGAGCACGATGACTTGGGGCGAAATCACGCTTCGTTCCATCGTGTATTATGTTTTGACAGCCAGATACTATAACGTAGTGTACAAACCAGGTCTGTTTTGAGTCATTGTCTCTTAGGGTATAGACACTTGTTTACGGGTCCAAATCGTTAACAATTAGATAGATGGCGGGATAAGTGTAGCAACAATGGCTAAACATTTCGTGTGAGTGTCATTCTTAAGAAGGGCCACGCCTCCAAAAATGGGAGCCGATACGTTATAGAATTAAAATTAAAATATTTTTTGGACTTCGTTTAATAGGAGATGTTTCAGTCCATTAATAAAAATCATGTTTTATAATGCTAAACAAGATTCTATTATCTTCTACTTTTTTCTTCAGCTTTAAATGTGTCAAAGGCAAACGTAAGTAGAAAAAAAACATCTAAACATTTGCCGAACAACATTGAGACTTTATATTTTTTCCTTTTTTACAGGAAAAATAATAACGTGGTGCAAATATCCACATTTTACAATCCATACTGACTAATATCCTGATCTATACCAAAATGGAGGCAACCGTACAACGGTATGATGAAATTTGCATGCATGGTACTGAATTATCAGTAGTATTATTCAAAAACTATCTACGGTTACACTCTTCCTATAATAAAAAGAATAACCACTAATTATTGGTCTGGTGGGCCTTAGACGTGTTTGTGCGTACACGAAAGCCAGCGAACTGCTGGCTACTGTTTATTTCACAAAGGCTACCGGCAAACAGGCTTTAACGCGGAAAAATATCCATTAAAAAAAAACGTCAACATCTACAACAGCCACCTGTTTGCATTCGAGCAAACAAGCATGTGCGAGTATGCTATTGCGGAAGCCATAGGTATTTTTTTGTGTTTTTACTTTTATATAATATAAGCATCTACACCGAAGTAGATCCCGTAAAAAAATCCCCGAAAATCTCGAAAAATGGCGGATTGGTTTCTGAGTCGATGTTCTATTGGACAAATACCGCTTCGTCTTCATCACCTGGAACCTCCAGCTCTTTTTTGTTTTAAGAAGAAAAAGTTTACTTTGTATGATAACTGTTTGTATGAGCCGTGTAACATATTGAAATGAAGACCATTTGATCAGAATCTGAATTAATCGTTGAGCATTTTTCCTTAAATACAGTAAGCTTATTTTAGCTGCGGTTAAAAAGTTGGTATTATGCAAAGGAACATGTACGTATTAGGGTATGACGACGAGTTCTCGCAGCTGTTTGTCAAAATTGATACGGCCTGCATCACTAATACTTAGTGTGAAAACGAAGCATAGAATGAACAACAGATGGTCTTGCGAAGATTTTTGTGAAAAGCTTAGGGCTTAGCACGTTCGCCTGGTTACGACACAGTATATTCTGACGTTTTCAGATGAACTCATGCAAAAAACACAAAAGTTTAGAGTCACTTTATTTAGTTTTAGGGATAATGCTAACTATATTGAACCATGGTACAATATTAGATGGCACACGTATGAAATAAAGTATGTTCTATATGCAGGTTAGCTGAACCCTCGTCACTAACTGAATTTATATAGCAAACTTCTCGCAGTATCACAAACATATTCGGTTCAAATGTCTTTCTCGAAGCTCGTTTATTCGGCAGGGATTTAAACTCTAACCCCCGTCCTTACCAAAAAAGAATTTTATGTGTGTAATAACTTTCGAAACGAATATGGACAGCACGTTCATGCTTAGTAAATGCTTCACGAAGCTTATATTTATATATGAAGCATTGAGGTCGTTCTCATTACACTAAGAAGTAGAAGATAAACCGTCAGTTACTGAAAAAGAAAATTGCCGTATATAGGGAGCGCCATTAGTTTTTGGTTTTCATTCAAAAGCGGGCGGTTCCTTTTATTACTGATCTTCAGTAGAAGTGTAGAGTGATGAGCAGCCTGTGTTTCAGTGGGAACAGCTTCAATGCACCCATTCTCGATATTAGCGTAGCTATTATTTATTGAACACTCAGTTAAACAGCTTAAAGAACACGCAGCTACATCAAGCTACTAGAGAATGGCATGTCCCTATAGCTCCTCACGTCGGCCCCCTTCATGAAAACCTCTGTACATGAAATATATTTTATCTTTCGTCTTTACAATTGTCTCTACAGGTTCGATTTAATTAATATCAGCATGAGTATTAATTGATCTATATGTGAACCCCCGATCAACCTTCTAAAATATAGAAGGTTGATCCTCTGCTCGGAGAATTCTAATTACAGTTATCAGAAAATTAAGCACTTTCGCTCAATTAACACCAGGATTTCTTAGGATCAATTCTACCTTCATAGCCAAGACGGTGACACCGGTGGCCTGGTAAACCGGTGGTTACAGGATTCAGGAGGTCGTTCACTCCGACGCACTATCGAGCTTGTAATACATGAAAAATTGGTTAAGTAAAATTAAATGTGAATGCATTGTCTAGTTCGGGGCATATGTGAAAAGCTAATACGTATAAAGCCTGTATTGCTGAAAAAACTATTAGGTACTACAGATAAGGGTTGCCTCGTCTCTCCGCTTTCGTCGGACCTCTGCTTAAAGAGTTCGGCTTTTCTTTATGGCATATATATAGGTATTTTTCTTGACATTTGAAGAAAGCCTTTTAGAAATACTAAGCTGTATTATCGCACTGCTTAAGGCGCAAGTGTTAGCTGAAGCTGAGGACAGTACCCGTAGCGCTGAGAATCACCTATGCCAGAAGATAAATATATTGTAAGCTAATAATTGTTGCATAGTAAATGGAATTATTCTGCCCTCTTTTTTCGCCTTTATTTATTAACGGGTCGCATTATTATCAATTCTATTTCCCGTATATGACGCTGCTTATGGAACCTGTCTTCTCGAAATACTGAACGCATGATAACCACTCATTTTATAGTAAGTGCCAATCTCTGGGATACGCATATATATATATATATATATATATATATATAATGTAGCTCTTCGTAACGTTATCGTCACGGTATACCCTTTGTTTTTATGGGCCGGGATTTGCGATAAACAGATTAATATCGACAGCTCCAATACGTGTTGCGGTAGTGACGCCCTTTCTCGACACCCTTGCCGGAATGGCGGGACAATTTGCAAACTTGCAGCGTGCTTGCCGTCGCCTGCTGCTAATGGAATTCGCGCCCGCGATTCCGCCACATTAGCTAGAAAAGCAACCAATGAAGCCCGCTCTTCAAAAGCCCTATCGCTGTATTAATATTTGAGCGACGAACTGCGGCCACAGTCGATGCTGAGCGTCAAGCGGTAGGAGGCACATTTACATCGACATGACAAAAATATTAGAGTTCCTGTGTATACGCGCGTAAGACATCAACAGATAGAAAAAGTGGGTCGTTAATATCTACATTTAGGCGCTTGCTGAAGTAAAATCAGAAAACTCAACGACAACCATAAAAGCGTAAGGGCATAGAGCTCAGTTGGCGTCTAGTACAAGATGTGCATAAGCTGAAGGAAAAAGCCGGTGGCAATATGCATGAAGAGAGGGTCAGAGAGGCGACTTTGAAGAAAAGCTGAAAGAAAAGGTACAGTTGTGCGAATCGATACAGATCGTTCGCTGACAGGCAGACATTTAGTGACGTAATTGTGACGTTTACATGGATCGGAAAACCCACAAGAAAGATTGTTACGTATCGGCAAGCGCAAATTTAAAGGACGCAATCCAGTACCATAATTGCGCGCTTTTGCGAGTGTCTGTTGGGAAGAAGCATCGCATAGTTGTTAAGCGTAGAGCATAGTCTAGCAGACCGCTAGACCAACGGACTCTGGATGTTTCATTGACCTGTACATAGAATGCACAAGGCGTTTTCCCATCATAGCAAAGTAGGTTAAACAATAAGCCCATTCGTTTATAAAGCTAATTGGACCTGAAGTGTCACCCTATGCGAATGGTTTTGTGACGGTGAATGCAAAGATAATTGTGCTGCATTTGGAAAAATTTAGAGCGAAATTTTCGGTACTAGAGGATTATCTGCCCGCTCAGGATGAAACATATAGCAGCGGTGATTTTTCTTTGTGGATATCTGTGTTCGACACGACGGTCGGTTGTTGCAGCCAAAAGTCGTCGACCAGGCACTGGCCTAGTTATTTTTCCCGGTAAGTTGCATAGACTTAACTTTACGTGCAGATACGTATCAATACTGATCAAACGCTTGCTGTACAGCTGAAAAAATATCCCTCTGGTTACAATATAATATACATATCCGTTTATCATGTTACAGGCGCCATCCAGATTTTTCAAATCCAAATATCTGCTTTAGCTCACTCGAGTTCTCTGTTTTAAAAAAAAACCTGTTTGGAGCGCTAAATTCAGATCCTTCCCGCCGTCGCGAACCTAACGCGTTTTGCTAGCCAACTTGATGTATACGTTATTTAACGCCTTTTGATACTATCTACGTTTCTGATTGTGGCACAAGGCTGAGTCATCAGAACAAAGCAGCCATTGTTGTTTCTCGAAGACTGCACAGCACTGCACCGCGTAACGTCCAATGTGATATTTTCCCAGGTTAAGCATGTGTGTATGTGTCAAACGGAGACCATTGAGACAACTACACACGATTATTAGAGGCATACATCTCGCCTAATGATAAGAATAGATTAGGTAATCTTGTTTCCCATTCATAGAAAATATAAATAACGTCGCAGTTGTCGTGGTGTAATAAGAGTAACAACGGTTTTGATACGCATCTGTCAAGCACATGCTCCAACTAGTCAGCGCCATGAATTACGAACCCAGGAAAATGCAGTTGTCTGATGTACGATGACGACGACCCAATCGCCTCAGCAATGGTGAAACTTCCGGCATAAATATTTTTGTCCTATTACAGGACGCTTGCAGAAGTCGATATTGAACCCATGAGTGTATTCGTATCTTCGACTGACGAAATTACGATGGGTGAATTAGTTTGGTTTAGTAGTATTCCATATATCGCCACTGGAGGGCACCTCTGTATGACTGTTGCATTTTGACGCCATCATGGAGGGGATGCCTCTGTAGCGTTGTAGGTGACAGTGATTCGTGTGAACGTTTTGATGAATAGCGACAAAAATGAGGTGGTGCATATTTGGACTTTTCAATATTAAAGAAACCTTTTATTTTTTTATAAATCACATTATAATTAAAGTTCACTATTTGCGGACACTTCGTATGGTTTTTTTTTTTCTATGTCGTATATTTGTGATATTCACATTGACAAATACCTTGGGCTAATAAGCTGAAGGTAAAAAGGTGTTAAAACCTATTCAGTTGTGTGAACGTCTTGTTACGACAGTACTTCTTTGATTGAGCTGAACGATTGTTCTACTACCCCGAACCAAATTGAATTAGATTTACTTTACTTTTCTAAAAAAATCATAGGTTAATAACACAACTTCCTTATATAAGAACGAACACATAAAACCATTTAAAGCACTTTGGGTCACGTGGGTTAAGCGAGTGTTCTTGAGTGTATAAAACGAATCTAGACGATTTCCTAGGAAGCAACGATCAACATGATATTTATCACAGTTTTGCCGCATGTGGAGCACCTGCACGCAACGTCCGACTTATGGTAAGCCGATTTCCTGCAGAACCCCTGTTTGAGTTCATACACAGCAATGCCAATGACGACGTCTTTGTTTAGTTGATTTAGCTTCTTCTAATCATTACGAATTTTGCTTCAGGTTTGCATCCATGCTCCTGTCCAGCTCATCAAGTATAGACATCTCTAGTATACCATATGCGGCTTACGGTTAGCTACGTTAAGTCTGCATAAATGTCAAAAAAGCTAGAGAAATCAGCTGGTGCCAAAATTTTGGTACGAAATGCCTAGTTTTTCATGTGCCCAAATTGCTTACGCCATATGATTGCTTTTGACCGCTATTCGGATTGATGAACTGATCTTTTACTTTGTGTAGTCAAATGGATGGTAATGAACGCGGCGTACATCTGATGCCATACCGACGGCAAAACGTATGGCAGCATTTCCGTACAGCAAATATTTGAGATTAGTTATTTTGTACGATGTATAAATGAAGCGCATCTCTCATCCATCTGTACACAGAGACCCGTACATGAATAGGATAAATTTTTTTCTTGAAAATCGTCAGTGAACTTAATATTAGCACCACTGCAATGTTGCCGCTAGTGATGAATTGATCCAAAGTCACCCAGGACTACAGCTCTGCAGCTGACCGAAAATTTCTAACTTAAACGTTGCAGTCGCCAATGAAGTTGAAGTGGCCCAACTATTCTATGACTGTTATGTTGTTGACAACGAGTAATCATAGAAAACAACTAACACTGGTAAACGATTGTGAACTATCATACAACATCGTGCAGAATAGGTCGAACGGAATGAATGGATACTCCACCGTAAATCCACAACGGTTGCGTATACTTTTTCTTAGTTGGGCTAAAATGTAACGTACATGGTTACTTTTCCTCCTGAAGTTTAGAGAAGCTATACTCTATAGATGCTTATTTCAGCTTGTTCAACGTCATTTAGCTAGCCAATGGTACGGCGCTCAGAAAACGGAGTTTTAGTAGAAGCAGAACACACAAATACTATTCGATATTTCCTATTTATGTGTTCATCGATGACAGTATGCCAATTATAAAGCAGCAAGGGATTATCATCATATAGTGGAGATTGTTGTTTAGTAGACGCTCTAAATTGCTTTAGTACAATATTTAATAATTGCCATTCATGGTGCAATTGAATTGGTTTGTCACAATATTTTTGGGATAACAGATGAATAATTGTGCCTGCAACGTAAGCCAAATCCGTTATTATCAAAGTTTTTTGTTTTGAGGCACTCATAAACAAGTACACAAGAAATAGGCCTATGAAACATGGCTACAAATAACTGCTTCATGAAGCTGACGTCATGCAGCATCATGAAGCAGCTACGTCACGACAGCTCCAAGTCTAGCAATTCGTCCGCAAAGTAGGAAATAATCCAAAAAGAAAACATTGTATCACGTGACCTTCACTAGTTATAACAGGACGATTGCTAAAAGCGGCTACTGCTACAAGATTACCGAAATGAAAAAGCTGGCTTAAAATAAATGCCATTTACAGCCTAATTTTATCCAAATATAAATGAATTGTACTGTATATATATATATATATATATATATATATATATATATATATATATATATATATAGATGTAAAGCTGACCATATATATATGTGTCTACCCGTCCAATAATGTCTTTAGCTTAGTACCACGCGCATGCGCACCAGGTAAACCTATTACACACCCTTTCGATGTTCTATTTTTTCTTTTCTAGCTGAATTTTTGTATTAAAGCCGCCACTAAGATAATTTAAAAAGTGAACAGGATATTCAGAAACATATTTTTTATATCTTTCAATACGACATATGTGCAGACGCATATAAATGTGGAACTTAACTGGGCGTGCATATGTGGTACTACAGATTCCGAGCCAGCTATATCCACCCTGTATTCGTATCGCACATCTGTCCATTCTAATTAGAATAGCTATGACTGTCTAGTTAAAAGAGGGGAATAACTGGCTTCACTAATCAACTAAACAATAAATAAGCTGTTTTCAAAACGGGTTTCTAACTAAACGTCATCCAAAATAGATGTTGTGACATTTCCATCATTGGTCATTGCTCCACGAATAAGAATTTACTTCTTTATTCACGATAGACGTTTACCGGATCTTTTTGCATTCATATTATCTTATAGACTTCAATGTTCTGTCAGAGGATTGTGCTAATTATTTCAAGAGCGATTCGGCGAATTTTCGTGGGACTGACAAGCAGCGAGTAGAGTGATATTAATCATAAACCGTAATTCATCATTTCGTTCCGAGGCCGCAATCACGAAGATCGAGTCATAAGAAACATATACCTACCAATATAGTTGCTCGTTTTGCTCTTGACCCTATTTAGTTCGATAGATTCCGAATGTTTCAGAAGATTGTTTGTGCTTCCGATACAATTTCTTGTATCAGTACCAATCAGCAGACTTTAAATTATTAGCTCCTGGCGTACCTTCGTATTTCAGTTTGTGTCAAATGGTTTCAACAAGAGAAAACGCAGCGAGCAGCTAAAATGATGGTAGTAGCTGTGACAGCTATGTAACATCCGCTAGAAAAGTTCCCGAAAAGCGTTGGCGTTTCTGCAAGATCAATTCTTGGCTTGGGCGACCGTAACCGACGGCCTTGCGGCTGCCGCGTCAGCCCGGCCCAAGCCGATTCGATACGCACAACACAGACAATCATCACTTTATTATCAAGTTCAAGTTCACATGCATATAGTGGCTATTTGCGTTGCTGTTGGTGCTTATTATTGCAATGCAGTATTTGCTTTGGTTATTGATTTGAACTTACGTCGCCGTTGGCCAGCGACGACCGACGATCAGCTCCCGCGACATTGCCGGGTTTGATGATCAGAATCATTCGACTCAGTCAACTGATCAATCTGAGCGTCCCTTGGCTAGATTCCATAGAATGACTATTATGTCCACAAGTCTCGCCTCTACAACTGCGATTATAGGACAGCTGCAGACACAACAGGCCCTCTACTACTTTAGCAGTTGTTCGTTGTTATTGCTGACATTGCCCGCCGGCAGTCCTGTCATTAACAGACCTTACTGATTGGAATAGTCGTCGACCGCATACGGACGCGCGATGAAACAAGAAGCGGGGCTATGGAAATGGGCCCCAGTAAATAAAGTAGCTGACATGGCCATCCGCAGTTCTGTGGCTGTCGGTAGTAGTAATGACGAAGACAATGTCGTGATATACTGAACTGGGAATAAACGATCTTCAACTACGACCTATATGGTAATCAGTCTGTGTCGGTTTTGAAGGGGGAAGTGAAAAAACTGGTGAGTGTATTTTACTGTGTGTGCCTTGAAGAAATACTCGTACCTTTTTCGTTATAATAGTTTCGTTATAATAATTGTAATCTATTTTGGACAAACTCATCATATGTAGTAACCAACTAATCAATAAAATAAACCTATCTGGTACCTATCTTTCTCTTTCCATAAGCAAGTCGAAGTTGAAGTGAGGGCGGGTTAAACGTGAAGCACACTGAAGATAGCAGTAAATCTAATTTGCACCACCTCACGTTATTTCAGGTACGAAATGGTGTGGCATAGGAAACAAGGCTCGAAGCTACGACGATTTGGGTGGTGCTGATGATACGGACCGCTGCTGTCGAGAACATGATCGTGCCCCAGGCGGAATTAAAGTTGGACAAACACTACACAACATCACCAATAATCTCAGTTATACGATGTAAGTTTGCAATCGGTATTCTGAAGTGCTTCACCTAAATTGAAATGTCCTCTTTTAATAGATAAATTCATCTATAAATAAGGACAAAAACTTGACCCATACATACGTAATTTCTAAGATATTCCTGCTTCAGTATCTATCCAGTATCTAAATCTTGTCGTTGCGTATTTCAAATTGAATCTAGCCTAAGTTACAAAATGCCTTGTTATTGACATTAACCAGTAGCAGTCATTATGAACCAATAGATGTTGATTTTATCATCTACATGCGTTCGTACCAGTCCGTAGTAAGCGCAATTCAACCATCTGAGTGATTCTTAAACTGACGCCATAATCAAGACTAGCTGCGTACGACGTAAAAACGTTTCAGATTTAGGGACGTCGTAGAAAATTTAGAGACACATTAACACCGTTCCCAACAGCAGAGACGTCTGACCATCAAATGGTTGCACGGTTGATACAAGACATGGTCACAGATTTGATTTATGATATATCCATTATTTTCTTTGTTGAACGGTGAAGGACTGTTTTTGAACTCGTTTTGCTGTTTGTTGACACCGTTTTCGTCGCATGAAATTAGGCACAGTTAACGAGATTTGCTGATTGTTATAGCTATTGTTCTAGTTCAATCATTTTTTAGATATTATCACGTTTAAGTTCGAATACTATCTGATATACGTTACGATTTTTGAAGGATTCTACGAGTTAAAAACATCGCCTGATCTGTTAACCCGCCAACAATAGACGGAATTGCTTTAGTAATTTGTTAAAACACAGAAAGATGCAGCTTTACCGTTTAATTCGTTTCACCGTTTCATGAAAATGCCCACATTTTGTTGACCTCTATTCCCTATGCCTACAGGCGTTCCGACCATAATCAGTGATATTTGGGTACATTCAGGCGCCACGATGATTCCCGCCTTTGCAGATGGCAACATTGATTGTAGTGCTGTGTTGAACGCGACCCAGTAACTCGTCTAAAAATCTTCCCCGTAAAACCTATTCATCTCGGACTACGTACACCCAACTGGATATTTGTTATACTCAGTAATTCGTCTCACCTTCGTCTTGTGACCTTAATGTCTCTAAGGCTTGGGTTCATATTAGCCACACTTGATATTAGAGTTATTGGGCCGTACCGCTGACTAAGCTGATTCACTTGATTCAGTCACAGTTCTTGTCGTCGTCATTTCGTAATAGGATTGATACAAACGAAAAGGAACTATCATAAACGAGTTCGTATTAGATCTGTTTTTCTTTCTTATTGCTTGCAGAAAACCCTGTGAGGCTGACGAGAAGTTTCGCCAATGTCTTCGCGGGGTCGACTCGCGAATAAGCAAACTTGTCGGCCTTATGTTCTTCAACGTCCTGCGCAGTAAATGCTATGCTCTTGAAAAACCAAAGGCGTGTGAAAAGCAATCGTAGGTATTTGACAAAACTTAAAAAAATGACCGAGCATGTTCTCTTCTTACCGCACTTGTTTATATACTCTATAAACGTAAATACTAGACAAAAATGTTTCCACATGTTTATACCTTCTAATGTTTTCAGTTGTAGTTGGAGGCAAGGGGATCGACGAAGTATACAGTCCCCTGCTGTCTACCTGAAAGCGAACAAGGGATAGGACAATATTCGATTCCACAGAAGATGTCGCTATTTTTATCAGGGCACCTAGCTGTTCATTTACTTTAAACAGGGATGCATTTTATGAACGTCACAAGTAGCAGCGAATCAGAAAGGAACCATAACGTTACGTAAATTCTGGCTGTAATTTTTTCATTCAACTACTATTGTTGGCTTGGTTCGTAAAGCAAAACACAGACTGCAGCATCGCTAGATGCAGGGTACATGCAGGGATAAAATGGCTGTAGGCTCTTCCTCTAGCATAGCTTACTACGTGGCTTTTATTGCATTTCTTTATTACGGTAAATGTATTATTTCGAATTCGCACCTTTTTATTTCAGGTTCGCGGCCTGCTCGCGTTATCGATTGCTACAAAACTTCCCACTCACCTGGAAGTTAGTCGATAATAATCGATTCTAACCAACATCTGTAACTAAGTGATAACTGAAGAAGGTTAATCCTGCTAGTGAACAAATATACCAATCCAATATTAGATGTCGTATACGTTTACAATTAATAACATATAGAACTATAGAAAATCACGTTTCCGATTTTTTTTTTTTAGATTCTTACCGAATCGACAATCGGCCATGGGTTAATGATTTTTAGAAAATGGCCAACCTAATTTGATGTTTGTGGCATTGTGGTAATCATAGCAAATTGTAGATTTAATTAAGTGGTATGCAATTCAAAGCATAGAAAAAAAAAAGTAGAGCTTTGATGTGTCTTGAGCAACGCGTATTAGGGTACCTTATTGTATCATTTCTATTACGGTACTGTCCGCAACACTTTGCGGTAAATAAACTAGTCTCACATAGACTATATAACATTTCAGTTTTACCCGCCTTCTAAAGGCGACGTTGCCATTAACAGGTTCTGCCACAGAACATTATTTTTGCAAGACTGCACCCCAAAGCTTTCTTATGGACATATATACTACAGGGTATGGAATAGGAGTTATAGTGGGGAAAGTAGTATTAATAAAAGCAAAAAACGTTTTCGGGCAAAAAAAATCCTAAAAATTATAACTAATTCTGTTTCGAGCAATAAATATACGATTCTTACTCTTGCATCCGTTTAGTGTATTTCCCCTTGGATTTTTTGTTTCTTTTGTTTTTTTAAAATCCTTAGATGGTTAACCAGCCAACATACTCACCATAGGATCTTACTTTTATTCTACGTATGGCCATGAGTTAGTCGTTTAAGGGTAGTAAACGGTAAAAAAATACGACTTTGCCTACATTGTACAATTATAGTGTAATTATACAATATTGTAGAACAACAATCGATTCTAGAGAGCGTGAGATCGTGTTGAATAGCCAGTACTGCCAGTTAGGTGCAGTAAATTTATGGTGTTAAATGTTTGGTTAAGGTCCTAGTAACAATAATGGCGCTCACAATTATTACCATCATCATTGTCGTGATCATGCTGATAATCCGCCAATTTTAATTTATTCACTTAACGTTCATCATACCATCAATATAACAACAATAGTAAACTGAACAGATATGAAAAACTGAAGAAAAAAGAAGAAATTTATCGATGTCTTGGAGGCCACATTTAAAATTCATAGTATGATACCACTAGTCGTCTAATAGAACGAGTAGAACAGCTGTGTGATATTGGCATTACCCTATGCTCGTGTATAATTAATTAACTGTATAGAAATGTTTGTATATATACGCAATATCCAATGCTCGAGCTGTTGGATGAGAGCGGCAAGAAGTAACACGGACGTCGCGTACGATGATAGTACTAGCCGTTGTATATATATATATATATAGGGTATGCTTGTACGCCTTATATGCTTTCGGACAGCTGAGCGACGTTTCGTCGAAGTCTCCGCGACGTAGTCTCCATATGTAGTCATAAACGAACTGTATATGCTGCTAAAAAGCTCCCAGCATACATATACGTATCAATACACTACGGCTCTACTCTAATGTAGGTAAGCAACGGCAGCATGGATCAAGGTCTATTGGTTTGTGTCTGTTTGATTGTACATGTATAGAATCTGTGCGGACATCCTATGTCGGCTCTCAGCGACGCAGCAGACGCCGCTGGCTAAGCAATTAGTCGTCAGCAGTAACGAACAAGCGAGCATTATTTGCCCATGGTTGCTACGCTACTGGGCAAACGAAGGAAACAATCAATCGCCAACTGCAGCATAAAAGCGTTGGTTGACGCGTCTTGACAGAGGCAACTGAGCTGCGCCGATGAAAAGAAACTTTTAGCAAATACCATAATAATAACAACACCGCTGAATATTTTGCTTCTTATAGAATATAATGATATTACCCTGACTCGGGCTTGTTCTACAATAACTATAAGCAAACAGTTTCCGGAAAGCTGCTCTATTTACAGTCGCCGCTGCCATCAGTGTAAATAGCAACGACGTGTGTAACGCGCTAACATTGACGATCAGTATTTATTGATAATTCGTTTGACATCGACACGAAACAAATTCGTTTATGTAAACGACGTATGTACGGAATTTTTTACCCTAATATAAATACTATAGTGACAACTATGATATGATGATGGTGTCATTGATAGCAATGTATATGACAGCTAGTCAAATCATGCCGCGTATAAACACAAGTTATCGAGGTGCGCCAACGTTAAATTAGCTTGAAGATAAACTATTGTATAGATGCCGGCCAAGGTGTTTTCGATGCGTGACAAGCTTCGCACAGCATTCGACAAATAAAATAATCTCCTTCGGTTGATAAGTATCGCCCGTTATCGATTAGGCAAAAAATGAATCTCGCATTTATTGAAATGTTTACGTTGCCGTATGCAAAAAAGAGACTGTGCCATTTGTAGCTAAGTCGTCCGTGGTGAAAAGTTGGTGATCGAAGCCGTTCTGAAGATTCAAGGATAAATACTTATTATGAAATGCTTGTGAGATCAGGTAAAATGATAAATACGCGAAAGTGCCCGGATTATCCTCGCGAAGTGTGACTTCCGTTGTGCTACTAAAAGATCACGCCTTTTTTTAATAAGAGAAGCCTATCATTGCTCCCAGCTGCACAGAGTAGATCTGGCACAAGCTACCCAAACTCATTGTAAGCGATATCTTTGCCGATCCACTGAACAGATAATTGACGTTTCTTACTCAGTTTTTGTTCTTAATGTGGTAAAGCAAGTTAGTCTTTTGTTATCTGAAAGTGTGCTTTTTTTATTCTAGTACAATACTACTTCTTGTCATCTGCGAGAATATGAACGAAAAAAAGAAATAGCATTGGGACTGGGTCTGCAGATACGAAAAGTAAACTTATATCTCTACCTATAGGCCAATAATGAATGGGCAACTTAGTCGCAAACATTTCGCACACCTCTGCTTGAGAGCAAACAGCTTGTGAAGGCCAAATGCCATCCATACAACTCTTCAGCTATGACGTCAACGTTAAGCAAATGTTTCACTTCCACTATTTTTCCATCATTAAATTTTTGTTAGAATATATCTGGTAGTTGTCCAGCATGGAAGGTCATCACTAGCACAAAACATTCTTTCGATTAGAATTTCGGGATCGCACCCCTCGGATCAACAGAAGTGTCTCCACAGAGGGCAGTACGGTCTGTTGTGGAATGCGCTTCACTGGACTGTCTTCTTCTAAGCTTGAATTTAAACGAAACTATTCGAACGACAAAAATCAGTTGCAAGACACAACAGTCTTTTCGTATAACTTAAGGACTGTCGACGACAACACCTACCCTTATCACAAATGATGTTCGTGATTTACCTCTGTAAAGCAGAGGTCGTAAAAGTTTTCTTCGAAGCTCACTACAACTTAAACGAGACGACTTCCGGCTTAATTATAGCAAACACCCAATATTAGAGATCGAACTAAAATATGTTGGCTACACTTCTTCGAGCTAGATTTTCCCGGCAACTTGTTACAGAACGGCAACTTATTTCAATGCAATAGGAAGGCGTAAGCGCAGCGATTGAATGGATTTGATCTTTATTCGGCAATTAAAAAGCCTTTCAAAAGTAAAACTTTCTCGTCAAAAGTGTAATCTTGTTTTTATATCGAGGAGTTCGTTATACGGCAGCGTTCACATAGGTGGAAGTCAGCCAGGCATACTTGAAAAAAATAGACAAATTTGCATGAACCCGTCGGAAATATTATTGAAGCTCTCCAGTCCTCAAAAGTTATGAACAATATTAAAACTCCATAGAATATTGGGAACTATGCTCAATCTTATTTGAAATGAAGAAAACCTTAATGAAAATCTATTTTGTTTTGTAAATATATATTTAAAAAGTACCACACATTTTAAAGCAGACAGAGGAACTGGTCTCCGTTGTGCCACAAGCATTACTGCTTATTGCAGAGAAGGGGACATGCCAAGACCTAAAGGCCTTAGCCATCTTACGAAAAAAAAAAAGAGAAAGGTATCTGAGAGAAGGTAAACCGCTGGCAAAAACCAAATTAATTGCTTTATGATAATTCGGATGTTTTGGAGTTTTTTTTTTCTAGATGTTTCTTTTCTGTGCTTGTTGCTTTTTCTGAAGGTTACGCGGTCAAAAGTGCGGAACTTTGCTATGTTTTACTTTGGAAAGCTCAACGTTTTCAACATTCCGCATATGTTTATATGCAGTCGTTTGCTACTAACATAGGATTCTGACTTCAGTTTTTATGTTCAATCAGAGCATTATATACTAATAATCGATCATAAACTAGTAGATATAGCAGAATGATCGGTTTGAGATCAAGTCCAAATCTCCTTGTTTTGATCAACCGTCATTTAGTTAAATTCTCAAAATCCCAGTAGATTTTGCTAATCCTGTTTCACAATCAAGTAATGTGGGCACAAACACAGAGAAACAAAGATGGTATACTAGAAAGGATCAAGCTAGATCTTCATACATGTCCTAAAAAAGGCAATATATTATAGAAACAAAATGTAAATGATGAGGAATTATTAATATTGAAAATTCAATCAGTTTACAATAAAAACTAATTCCTTTATTAAGGCATGTGTATTCTATCGAATTATGTTACTTAGTTTATCCTGCAGGTTTTGGTTTCGTCTTTCGATCTGAAAGAAGACAAGAAGATTAGTCGATAAGACATTTTTCCATTATCGCTATCAACTCTTGACCATCTGGTACGAACTATAATCCTACTGTACTATAGTATAGTATAAGTACTATAGCAGGAGTGGCCGAATAAAAGCCGTTGTGTTCAGTAATACGGACCTTGAAATGGCTCACATTTTCTAATGATGAAAGCATGCTTTGGGTTACATGGTCCTACACAAGACTAATCGAACCGTGTTCGTTTTATACATATGTACCGAGTATTTATCCTAATAACCTAAATTTGAAAATAACCCTTACGCATCGATCCGCTCGCATCATTGTCCGTTATAAGTACACCACTGACATACCATAAGCCCAAATAATTTTTACCAACAGTGGTCTTTTTATGTAACAAGATGTTACCACATATAACAGATTCTTCAAGATCAGTTGCATTAAATATTCGCTTATAGCTTTTCTAACACAATGGATATGACATTTTTTCATCATATGATACGTTCCTTGAAACTTCTTTAAACTCAATTATTATCAGACGATATAGCTGCCGAAGCCATAATACTTGATTTACCATTGGATCAATATTAGCTCCATTTGAATAATAAATGCCCAAATAAAACATCGTTACCTTACTATTTAGTATCTTATTCGTTAAGCGTTATACCTTAATGTTTCTTTCGAAATATATTCCGGCTGCAAAACCGACACCGAACGACATCTAAAGAAAGCAATAATAAACATAATTAATTCTCTAACTAGCTAACTATTATATTAAATAAAAGTTCACTGAATCCTTAAAAACTGGTCCTCCACAAATTAAGCACAACAAACAGGGCCCGAGCGAAATAAAATGCTCGTACATTGGGTGTGAAATTTAGACATTTTATGTAAAGCAAACCATTGCACGAAATCATTTTTTATGTCAGATCCCACCATCAAACGAATACATGGCAATCAGTTGTTATCTGTGAAACGGATAATATGCGACATTATCTTCCATCTTCTACGGAACATACGGAGCATAACTCGAAAAACTGCAATCAAGTGAAAGAAAACATCAAACACTGACAGCTAGTTTGCACACTGGGTTAAGTTATTCTTGAACGAATTTGTTGATGCCCCTCGTTCTATCAATAAACACAGGCTGGCTTCATATTTTCATATTTCGTATTTACTATCTATTTAACAGTACTACGAATAGCTTATGGCAGACGAATTGATATATAGACAATAGCAAATTGGCCGATCAATACAGATTAATGCCATACTACACGACGCATATTTTTTTGGCGGACATTCGAAGAATATCAAGAACTTCTCGTCAGTAAACAACGTCCTAAATCACGTAAACATTCATAAACACAATAGACTATCACACATACTAAATTACATGTCAAACGTATGTCTTTTAGTTTCAATCCTTTTTTTCTTATTAAAATACCGTTAGAACATAACATTGCCTGTTGTACATAGTGCTTCGACTCATACTTATAGGAGGCTAAGTTACTTTAACTCCAAAAAATTCTTCATTAAAATATATTACATTATAAGCTTTCTCAGAAATGAAATATATCAAAAGTTAGACATCCAGTAAGTTAATCTGATGTTTCACCAAAAAAACAGCAGCTTTTGCAGACTCGTACATTACTATAGGACTTACAGGTATGACCCGACGAAGGTGAATCGTCTCGGTCTACGCGTATGACGACATTTGAACATTCTGTAAATTGTCGCGTGGTTTACCTGAATTCGCGTCTTGCTTACTTGCTTTGCAACATATTTATGAAAAAAAAACTCTAAACGCACTTACCAAACAGACAACCGTCGTGGTAAACATTATGTTCACAGCGTCAAACGCGATCTTTTACCAATTCTCTTTCTATGTAGGTTGGGGTCTTTGATGCACGGTAGTGCTGCTGTCACAGAACGACTACAGCAACTACTGTGAAACTGTCAACAGTGATGCTTTATCGATGTCTTCTTTGGCTCATTATAGCAGGTCTTCCTACTTACCGACTTTTTTAGTCTATATACCCGTACGCATAGGTGGCGCGCGGTTCAGGACACAGGTTTGAATAGGGCCGCTTTCGAAAAAAGCCTTTTACGTTTCATTCAGGCCAGTGCCTAGTGGCAGTTCGTTTATACAAAATGTTGCAAGCTGGTAAAGTGCAAAAAGAAGCACTAAAAGACCTCTCATCGTTACTCTACTCACAAGTTTCCCCGTTACATATGGATACAAAGGCTCATTGTATTTGGCTTGTAACGATACGATGCAACATCACAGCCAGTTTATTGAACATCAGTTCATTGAAGCACAGTATCATTGTATATCACCAAAATTTTACCTCCGATATATTCGGTAAGATTAACTATATAAAATATCACGTCATATTCTTAATGCTGTACCTTTCTGTTCAAAAGGTATCATCTATCAATAGATCGAGCACGTCTAGTACCTTCGTTCGTCAGTAGAGGATGGAAGGAAGGTAACAGATCTTTATTAAATCAAAATTCTCGAGTTGTTTTCACTTTATGACTTGGAGCGCTTGCGTTTGTCATTGTGGCGCCAGATGTACCCGCGTTTAATCCAAAGACCGGAATCTAATGTCAGCTTTCATTCTAGGGTCTCGTCTACATGTGTATCGCCAGCTCTTTATCATGATGGCTCATATCAAAGAACCAACAAAATCGTCAGTTATTCAACCTGTAACGAGCTACCATGGTATTGTATGGTTTGTGACATAACTCCTAAACATAGAAAAAACGTGTTAAATACTACTAGAGTTATCAAAGCTAAAATGTTTCATTATATTTTGCATTACATAGATGCAATTTTTCTTCACCTATTTTTTGTATCATGTAGAATAAAAATCGTCTTAATATACAATTCGGATCAATAAGGATAATTGCTATAGCTGCCGGAGACAAGTAATACGAGTCAATCAAAAAGTATTACTTAAAAATAATATTGAAAAAAATATTAGTTGAGATTAAAATCGTTCATTCCATATTCTCGATAGAATTAAACATCAGATCCACGGACGTCGAAGTCGGATCCAAAGGTTCGTCTGCGAAAATGATCGTAAGTGAATATGTCGAAAAAGGAGATAGACGCTTCATTACTGTTCATCACATAAATGTAAGTCGACGATTACGGCGTTGTATAAGTTCAATTGGCTGTATCGTAAAAAAAATGTAGATTCGGTAGGCAAAATTAAAATATTTTGTAATTAAACAAGCTTTGTGTAATTAAAATTATAGCCTTTTTCAGATAGGAGTATATACTCTGACTCTTGCAATAGGTTCCTAAGCACGCCTGTTAAGAATTGCATGAAATACTGTTTATTACTGGTAAGGTCCTCCTCCTTAGTTTGTCGACACTTATTTTGATCCAACACACTCCCGCATTCGAAATTGTTATGTTCATGAGGTTTTATTAAATGCTATACACCCCAGTGACAATCGAATCTCAATGGCGGTACGCAAGTGGGATGTAATTCGCATACAAACCATTTCTGCCGGTTGCTTGCTGGTCAGAAGCCATAGACATACACATCTAGGAAATGGTGAAAAAATTGATAAAAACGTTCTAACAGAAAGGACACCATGTGGAAATTCCAATCAGCATTAGCTCGCACTGCAATAAAAAGTCCCGGGTTGTCTCGATGACCCAGTCAATCTCATTCGAAACCATCTCAGTCTAATAAGAAACAATTCCACGGGTTTGTTGGTTCGATAGTAAACATGAAAAACCCTTTGACGGTTCATACATGATAATAATAATAACAGTAAAACCTATAGTTATTATTATTACTTAGAAATGTGCAGGTACGACGTCGTTAAGTAGTAATGAACACGTTCGTTTTCCAGATATCCCATCTAAGTTTGGAAGCTGGTATTATTGGATTTGGCCTTGGAGTGCTGTTCGTCTGGATTGTTATCATTTTCACGTTACACTTTTCCAATAGTGGAAAAGTAAAGCCTGCTTAGGCATGGTGTCGTTTTCGGCATCGTGATTCTCCACTGATTTCATTAATAAACTTTATTACTAACCTCTGTAATTCGTAATCAACTTTATTCCGAAAAAGTTAGATTGAATCAATGAACAAAAAAAGGGTTAAACCAATTTATTTACAAAATGAGATAAAAAAAAATTGATTTTAGACTAAACTATAGGTTTTGCAAAAAGCTGAACTTACTGTTTCGTAATTAAATTTGATACTCAATCATTTTAATAAATGGCACAATTATTTACATAATAAAACAACGGACGGTCAATAAATGTCTCAGTCTTATTTCAATTGATTCAGCCCACTGTAAGTCGTAATTATTGGAAATATGTGCACCGCAGGTTACTGGAGAAATGAAAATGTGTACGATGAATCTGATAAGAACCGCAACAGAAAATCCATATTTGCGTGCTATAGTTACGGTTCCCTATATAACAATAGAAAATGTATTATTATAAAGCAGAATATGACGTAGAAAGGCCTGTAAAGGCAAACTAACATGTCTCATTTGACCTGGAATTTCTTTCAAGAATTTTTCTAACAAAATGCTTCATAATCCGCAATGACATCCGCCAGTGAGCTTTGCCGCTCTCATGTAACACTTTTAGTATTTTCACCTATTTGGATAGTTTACTTGTATATAAGAAGTGTTTTTCCTAGCGTACAACTAACTTGATCTTTCTTCCATCCTACAGATATCTGAAGACGTATTCGATATACACGTTTCAGCCTATAATCTTGCTGAGTTTCGTCTGATTCTTCGGCAGGCTTCAATTGTTAGGCTAAAAGCTGACGCCGTTACCAAGATTTAGTGGTGTGCGTTTTTACAGCAAATATTGCATATTTGTCTGTTAGAACAGATATACGACTATACAAGTTAACTAAAAGTGGTATTCCTAAGCAAATTTAAATACCTCTATGATAAAGTTTGCCTGGCACATTTTTTAATTTTTCAAATTCGAGTTACGTTAATTTCAGCGCGCGGATGACAGAACGCGTTGGGCGTTTTCGCTTTGGCGCCAAATTTTAAAAGCCCGCTCTAAAAATGAGGGCCCAAAGTGAGTTTCGAAATCGAAACCGTATGGTGATGTATTTATAAATATTTAGCAGACGACATATTTGCTTCACGCGGGAGCTTGTCAGAAACCATTCTTGTTTTGTTTTGTGAGTGATTGTAGACATAAGTTTGTTTCGTGCTGACTTGTCAAGGCGCGAAACGCCATCCATTTTTTAAGGTAAGACTTATCGTAAGCCCATATTACAGATGACAATGAGATTTAAGTTACTTCGTAGTCCGAGCCGATCTTGACCCATTTCCTAACTTTTAAATGGAAAGCTGCGGCACTGCCTAATATGTTGTTCACCATATTAACCGATGATTTCAGAGCTGTTAGGGCATACGTTAATTTGTTGTCACTCTTTTCATTGAAATTGTAAATGATCTCTGCGTTATCAGTAAACAGGTTGAGTGAAAACAAAGACGTACTACTTCTTTTAAATAAGTTCAACATATAAGCCCAAAAGCATAAAACCGTACTATTCGCTGCCTTTCGTCAAGTTCGCTTGGCTCGAAAAAGCGTTTTTGAACGAATCAACTTGGAAATTCTAGCAGTTTTCCTTATTTCATTAGCATGAACTGCATAATTCGAGTTTCTTTGTCAAAGTCCCATTATACCCCTATTTATTCCTCCCGTATAATGTCGACGACTACCGATGTACTCAAATGGAACAGTGATTACGTATCGGCATACGAAATTCTTAACTTGGCTTTGAACATAGGACTTTCGAAAGAGGGAACTCCTAGATTATTTTTAAATACCTGTGTATTTAAGAGTTTGTGATTAATCGAACAGAAGGTTTAACCAATAATCGAACGACAATCCTTGCCACAGATGGTGAATTCTGTATTTGAGTTTGGAGATGTGTGGAAAGAGGACAAGGGTGGAATGTCGAATGGCCGTCTCAAGATGACAGATCAAAACATCGTCTTCAAAAACGCGAAAACCGGCAAGGTTGACCAGCTCAATAGCGGGGAGGTAGGTTTTTCAACGAAACTTATCAAAGTGTGGCTCAAATAATTATAATCCCGAATGATTACTTACAATACGTTTTCAGGTTGATTCGGTTGAATGGCAACGGCTTGGTGCGGGTTACGGAATGAGAATTGTGCTCTCCGGAGGAGCAATCCACCGTTTTGGGGGTTTCGTCAACGATGAGAAAGAATTCGAGAAACTTAAGGAATTTTTCAAGGTTGGTTTGTATTAGATTTTTTAGATACAACTCTTTGCATATTACTGTATTGAACTCGTTTTGGATGTAGATTCTTCAAATAAATTGAGAGTACATTTGCGCTACGAATTTTAGGTATGGTCTGCCTTAAAAGACCCATTCATACACCTAATTACATTATATACAATGCACGTCTATCGTTTGATTTATTAGTTCATGTGAAAAGGCTATCTGTTCATTGAGCAATGGTGAATTATGATTACAGGAATGGCAGTGAACTACTTTATTTTTGTGGATAAATAATTGCGCAGCTCTTTGTGGCCTCGTTATATGACGAGGTATTACGAGAGCTTGAACATTAGACAATATCTAAGGTACCTAATGAATAATCGAATGGTTAACCCATGAAGTAGACTGTATTTTTTCGGTGTCTGAGCTAGACAATGGATTTATTACTGTCAGCTTTATCATGTAACTTCAGTAAGTTAATGACTCTTGCGTGTAATTTCAGGAGTTCTACAGTGTAGAGTTGAAGAACAGAGAATTGTCGCTAACGGGCCGAAACTGGGGAACAGTGAACTTCGATGCTGCAAGCCTTGAGTTTTCGATCGATAAATTCAATGCATTTGAGGTATGTGCCACGACATTACGGTTAAACCATTTAGACACCAAAATTGTTTCGACATGTATTATTTCATTAAAGGAATATTATAGTAATTACGGAAATTTGCCATTTGCGATTGTTCCACTTCTGTTATGATCATAGTTACCGTGCAATTCATCCTTCTAAAGCGACGCTTAACTGACCAAATACCAGTCGTGGGACTTGAAACATTTACCTTATGTGATTCTATCCATGCAGTCTATATATTTTCGTTCCTTTCGCTATAAAACATAAAATAACTGTTCAAAATGGATTGAAACATGGGTATACCATTCATGCACGTTATAATTGCTGCTTACCAATTACTTGATATAGGTTCCCCTGCACTACGTGTCTAACTGTGCGACTGCAAAGAATGAGGTGACACTCGAGTTTCATCAAAATGATGATGCATCAATCAATTTGACGGAAATGCGATTCTTTATTCCGTCAGATGCTAATGCCGATGTGGATGCAGTGGATGCATTCCGCAACAATGTCATGTCGAAGGCCTCGATCATTCAGGCAACCGGCGACGCCATTGCACTATTCAGCGACATTCAATGTCTTACTCCAAGAGGTACTGATATTTCATAGTATGCTTGTTATGTAGCACTTGTGTCAGTGTTCTTGCTGGGTAGATGCAAAAAATCTACTCAGGAAGAAAATAGAGGAAATTTATTATTTTCTCCAGTAGTGACAACTGTGTAGTTGATGAATTTCCCCTAAAGAGATAGTTTTCAATAGGATACATGAAGCTAATTTGACTTTAATTTGTTTAACCTTCTACTCGTATAGGTCGTTATGATATCAAGATCTTTACAACATTTATCCAACTGCACGGAAAAACGTTTGATTACAAGATCCCTGTAAATACGATTTTGCGTATATTCCTTCTACCGCACAAAGATGGACGACAGATGCATTTCGTACTCAGTCTTGATCCTCCAATCAAACAAGGCCAGACCAGGTAAGAATTAGATTTTATTTGATTGTAAAACAAGTAACCATAACCCTCAGCCAATTTTTGTTTGTAGCAAATCTAAGATGATTAGAGGATGTACATATAAAAAGGTACATCGACAGCTTTGTATATAGTTATAGGTGCTGGCGTATTTATTCATACTACTCTATTTTAAGTATTACTAGCGGTGGACGGAATGCGGCGAAGGTGTTGTGAAGGAGTGCGTTAGCTTCTTCACACATTTTTGTTAGATAATAGAATACTTTGAGGCACGCTTGGTGAAAGATCCTCGAGAAGTTTATCAATATTTTCCTGAATCGAATCGAAAACGAGCCAAAAGTACGAGGGAGGGGCCAGAGCATCTGTCAAAGATTACTTACTTCAGAGTATAACTAAGACAAATGCATAAGAGGAACCACAGGGTGTTAGATCTGGCTGCATTAGACTAACCATTGCTACAAATATTTTGTTTTTTTTTTTAGGTATCATTTCTTGATTCTGCTTTTTAATCAAGAAGACGAAGAGGATGTGAAACTCTCAATGAGTGAAACAGACCTCAAAGAGAAATATGAAGGCAAGCTTGAAAAAGAAATGAGTGGGCCTGTTTTTGAGACCCTCAGTCGTATTGTCAAGGTGAGGAAACGTACTAGCATTTGGTTAGGTTATTGTGGCCTCAAATTGATCATATTGCTACTATCAAAATATGATAGCTTTATAGATACATTGTAGACTGTACCTTAAATACAGTACGATTACTGAATTAGTGGTGTTAATAGCTCTAAAAAATGATTTCTATCAAAAGTTGACACAGGACGCGTAATCTACGTTTGTCTAAATAACTTCGCTTAGCCGCTTTTTTTTTTTTACAGGCGATTGTTCAGCGCAAGGTAACTACACCAGGAAACTACAAAAGTCTCAATGGCACGCCAGCGATTTCATGTTCATATAAAAGCTCATATGGTCTTCTTTATCCCCTGGAGAAGGGATTTATCTACGTGCACAAACCACCTGTGCACATTCGATTTGAAGAGGTTTGTTCATAGCATCCTGTTTTAGTAACGTTTTTATAATAGTCCCGCGATTTAACCGTTTTAAAATAGTGGCTCTCAACGCATAAAGTACTCAGCGCTTGCACAATAAATTTAAAAATAAACATGGTATATGCAGGCGATAAACATGTATATGTATCAAGTTTTTAGTAGTAACGAAACATAGGTGTTAGAGTTTAAGGTTATGTAAGTCTAAGCATATTTAAAATGTTCACATGAAGGTCTCGATAACTTTCTTAACAGATTTAACTCGTTCTGTAACGATTTGCAAATCTTAGGTGTCCTCTGTTAACTTTGCTCGTTCTGGAGGCTCTACGCGCTCGTTTGATATCGAGGTGGAACTGCGTAATTCAATTATGCACACATTCTCGTCAATTGAGAAGGATGAATACGGCCGTTTATACGAATTCGTAAAAAGCAAAGGATTAAAGATTGGCAGTAAACAGCGTGGCGCCGAGCAGACTTCAGCTGGACCCGACGATATGCTAGATTCGGATCAAGAAGATGATGCTGCTCCCGACGCGTATCTACATCGCGTCAAGCGAGAAGCCCAGGCACGCGATGATAATAACGACGACGATGACGACGAAGATGAGAGCGACGACGATTTTAATCCGGATAAGGTGAGTGAGAGTGACTGCAATGAGTATTACCACTCAGTAGCTAAACACTCTGACACAATATTGCGAAGAAATACCTCGTCGTTTGAGCCAGTGTTTTATTGATTCTTTTTTCCTGTATTTCGTTGTTTATTGTTAGGCCTCCGGAGGGTCCGACGTTGCTGAAGAATACGACACAGATCATGATTCTTCGTCGAGTGATGATGATGAAGAGGAAGGAGAAGATGGCAAAAAACGCAAGAAAATCAAGACAAAAACGATCGCGGAACCTGGTATATGTAGTATTATAAAATAATTGACAGAACTTCTCAGTGACTGGGGATGCAGAAAATACTTATTAGATTAATAAATTAACTTGAATCCTGGGGATGGATAATCATCGACATTATATTTTCCGCATAAACAATAGTCACTGAAAAAAGGAAGCTAATTGAAATAATATGATCTTGTCTTGCGTGAATTGTACAATCTGGCCATAAGGGCAAGGGCAAGGGGTCTTAGCAACCTTTATACAATAAGCAATATCAAACTACACTCTCAGAAACTTATAACGTATGTACAACATGTATAACACGCATTTTCTTTATTTAGGTATGGGCAAAAAACGAGAGAAATCTGATCGCTCCCGTGAGGAGGGTGGCAGCCGAAAGAAACGAAGTCACAAAAAGGATGCCAACGCTCCCAAGCGGCCTCAAACGGCGTATTTTCTCTGGATGGCTGAGAACAGGGATAGAATCAGGAAAGAAAATCCCGGCATGTCGGTAACAGAGATTGCTAAGAAGGGCGGTGAAGAATGGAAGGCCCTTGACGACAAATCGAAATGGGAAAAAATGAACGAGGAGCTTATGGAGCAATACAAGAAGGATATGGAAGAGTATAAGGTTCGCGTATCCTTCACATTATTATGCTGTATATTTATTTGATTACTAGGCAACATAAAAAATACGAATAATTGCATATTGGTAAAATTCTGTGAGTACACTTAACAATATTTGGACAACTAAGATAGTCAGATAGTTTGTATTTTCCCATATTTACAAACTATACAATATATTGCCTTTTGACTCCATAAGGGCAATCATGAATAATACACAAAATCTTTATTTAATAGCCTAGGCATTTAGATACAAGATCAAGTAGTACTGTATGTAATCCGTGCAGAAATTGTCAGTGCAAACTTGCTTACGGGACGACAAGTTGTGTTTTGCTGCTATACTATATATACTCTAGCTTACTTGTAATAGTAATAAATGTAATAACCGAGTGGATAATTGATCCCGATTATTACTATCTGTTTGGTGACTTGCTGTTTTTTAGGCGCATAAGAAGAGCGACGACGAGAGTTTGGATGATGAAGGTGATAAGAGGAAGAAATCCAAAAAATCGTCACCCACGAAAGCTTCGTCGGCAGGTGGCAGCGGAGGGGGATTTAAGAGTAAAGAGTACATTAGTGATAGTAGTGATAGCAATGGTGGCGAGGATAGATCAGGCGAGGAGGAGAAGAAGAAGCCTAAGAGGGGTGGTAAGAATAACAAAGCCAACGAATCGTTTGAGTCACTCAAGGACCAAGACGAGGAAATTCTTGACTCGCCGGAGGCATCAGGTGGCAGTCAAAGTGGGTCCGGATCTGAAATGGATGCTGATTAAATCTACGCGTACATTGAACTCTTACATCCGAAAGTATAAGACAAAACAAACAAGTGGTTCGATTTAAATGCTTTTTTTTGACTCCTCGGATTATTTTTCTATTGAGGGTGTTGTAAAAAAAACTGTTGCTTTTATCTTTGTTAGATGCTCCCATAATAAAGCCAAATAAATTCGAAAACAATTTTTACGTACCAAGTAATATTGACAAACATATTTTGATTTTTTATTTGTCATCTGTATCATACGCTCAAAGGCAGACAACTACATAATCTTTCATAGGAACAAGATTTAAACATCAATTATATACATATAAGTAGTACATATTATCCCAATAATGCAAAGAAATCGTACAGTAGCGCAATTATAGCCCGTATTTTTCTTAGCACAAAAAACCAGTCGTAATACGCATCGTTGATTTCGCTAAAAAAGTTTTCGAATAAAATAGCCAAACTTCATAAACACACCATATTGATTTCTTTAGGCAATTTTGTTGGGACCCTTCTTAAAACGCAAACATTTTTAAAAGTCCTTAAAAGAATTACAAATTTTAAGTTTTGTATAATTTTTTATTAGTTATTTTCTACACTGATCAGAGTGAAACCAACCAAATATACTTAAACGTGTCTTATTCAAGTTTTACAATGAAAAATATCTTCATTTTTCAATTCAAGAGTTCATTTTAAATAATTATCTAGGCGTGACTACGTCACTACCCCACTCAATCAAAGGCAGGTATTTTTGACAATATGTGGCACTGAACGCGAATCATTGAAGTGATGAGCGACAACGTTACCGTTGTTAAAATTTACGAAGACTTTAATTTATTAGGTATGTAATTTTTGACATATTTTCAACTTTATTTCAAGGCTTTGGTTGCAGAACCGTCATAAAATACTGGTCGTTTTCCTTCAGACCTAGCTTTCAACTTATTGTTATTTAAGGGAACGAAAAGCTAAAAAATAATATCATGGAAGTACAAAAAAATTAGAACCCTTCCTTGTTTATGAAATATCAGGTTGTTTGAGGGCAATTTTTAGTTTCCTTATTACAGAAAAATATTTGCTGTAACTCTTAATGGGGCAGTCCGATATAACCCGATAAAGTGAGCCTTGAGTTGAACGGGAGTCTAAGATCTGTCAGGATGCTTTGGCTCGCTAAAGACGCATAGAACCGAGTAATGCAATACAAAAGTATCACAAGCGAGTCCCATTGATCACTTCAGAGACTTTATATTGCCAAATTCTTGGCTCGGTGAATAAGCTGAACATTCACAGTTTTGCTGTGTTTCAGGAACTAATTGTGGAGTACCCTGTGCAGACCTCATCAAATTCTATGAGTTGATCATGCTGAACTTTACCCGGGAGTTACCAATTTATTCTTGCTCTGAAGCTCATAATAATAAACCGATACCTATATCCATTTCCTGAGGAAATGACTTCCATTTCACCGCGTAGGAACTAACATGCATGCTGTCTAGCATTAAGAGAAGGAAATTAATATGGAGTTTTTAGGTTTCATGATTTGATTATGTAGAAATACGCCATTAACGACAAGAAAAAGGTAAGCAATGCAGAAGGTATGGAACTGTTTAGCGAGCATGCTTAGTTTTAAACCGGAAGTGTCAATAAAGCATTAAATGAAGGCTGGCAAATTGTCCAAACGACTAAAAAGGAATAAAAATTTGCGCCTATCTAATTAGTTAAAATCTCCTGTTCTTCATCCGTATGTTATTCATAAACGTACAAAACTTGTAATGTAAAGATTAAAAGAATGTAAGTTCTACGGACAGTCAATTGCGAAAATGATTGTATACTTTTGAGAATATATGGAGACAAATGCGTCCAATTTGCCTTTTGTTCAGGAATTTGCTTAGGGATAATTACATACTGACAGTTTAATCATTTCAACAATATAGAAAAAAATTAAATTTTGCTGTAATGTAATTTTAATTTTTTAGCTTCGCAAGATACAACTAATAGGTACCCCGACAAATTTTAGGTGTTATACTCAAGAGACCTTATATTTGTGTTTAACGACCTTATATTAACGGCAATCATATATCCAGCCCTCATCACTGAAGATTTCGTAGCTACAATAATATCCTTGAAATCTGTTCAGTTTTTATCAATAATATTAAACGGAATCAAATTTCTTTTCTATTTTTGACCATCTATTGATTCAGGAGTAAAGTTACAAATGCTATCATTTCAGGGCGTACAATCCAGCTGCATCGTTGTCCAAATTTTAACATTACAACGTTTGTTACGAGGCATTCGCGTTATGCAGATACGAACCGTGTCAATGGTTAAGATGGTATTGGAAATAAGTCAGTAATTCGAAGAAATGCATTTACAAGAAGGAAAAAAGCTCAGATGTGCAGCCATTATAATTGTTTCGCATCCACTCTCTGTTCGCACCCAATGCATACAGGAGATTTTCTCAGAGTCAGTGGCTATTCTAGAAACCACCAAGTAGTTGTGCAGCAACTACTCATTTTTCTCATTTGGTTCTTAGGATCATGACAGTCTCTGGCGAGTGGAACTGATGAATGCATCATTCTTGTCTAAATTGGTTTTAGGTTGTGGTAGGTAAGACTCAAGTCAGTTATAGCTTATACTTCAATGCAATCAGTTCGCTTGCTATGATTTCCAATTCATAGTGATTCAACGATATGCAAACTAAAGTGGAATTGAATCTTCAACAGGTGCACATATACCGGAAATACTACCCAGACAAATTATTGCGGCTGTTGCAGCCTTGAATATGACGACGCAAGTGCAGTATTTTGTCCGATGCTCTACGGAGCGACTGGTCAACCGAATACTGCTGCATCCTGTTTGCCAAATAACGAAGTTCTGCCATTACTTATGTACTCCGCCGTTCCAAACATAGGGGTAGCCAGGCATCATTCAGGTCCAGGATGGCGGACCTTTTATATGAATATTGGAGTACAGTCGAGGAATCGCTTCTAGAGTTTTGGTATATGACCATCACTCCGGTCTTCGATGAGATCAATGATATTGTGAGCCAGTACGATTTCCTTCCGCTGCTAGGAGTATGTTTATGGCACGTCGATCTTGTTGTTGTACCTACACTCACCAGGTTCGTATTTAGTTTGGCTGTGTGTTTTTTAATATGGGGGCGTCTAAGGGTAATTGTGGCTAGTGTTCACATAGGATGGATCAGCAAGGCTATTGCCACTACTAATATGTTGTATTCAACCAAAAAGTGCTTAATTCTAGGTTTAGACGATATGACACCGATGTGCATTTTTTATTAATTGGTTGCTTTGCAAACAAATTAGTGGAAAATACCTGAACTAAAAAATCTGCAGGATGCTTGAAGAACCTACGAGACGAGATAAGCAAGATTAGTTAGTTCTAATTGAATATGCATAATTTGGACCTAATATCAGTGGTCCGTCCTTTCGAACGAGTTGCGCCAAAGACTTTATGGAGTCAAAGTACGTAAGACCGTATAAGGATATAGAATGCTTTACAGCGAAACGCGTAACACCATACAGCACGCACTTATTGATTCACATATCAACCTTTTTGAATTATTGGGAATAAATATTCTAAATCTGTCATTAATTTACGGCGAACTTGTCTTGAAGATTTTCTAGTTAGATAGTTAATCAGTAATAGGTCAGGCTTTTTGTGCTCATCTTTTCTGTTTCGTCTTCTTCTGAAGTTTATGCTGAAGAATTCCCCAGTGTTGCAAATACGATAAAGCAGGGTTTTGATATGATGCACCTTGTGTTCATTGCGATTTCATGGGAGCTGGGTTGACCGCCAATAAACGTAGGATTTAATGTTATAAAAAAAACTGTTAAAGCTGTCGTTTGCCTTTTGCAGCCGCCACCTTATGTACGTCCTTAACATTTTTACGAATTAGTAATGTTATGTATCCTTAAAGGTCCTCAATTGCGCCTTACAGTAGTTGTGGCATATAATGGCTTGAAAATCCTTTTGCGTGTTGCTTCTGCGAGCTAGTGGATAAATTCGTGGAAGATATGTAAAATACAATATTCGCTTAGCGGGTAAAAAACCACCAGAAACATAGAACTGGCAGCTTAGTGCTAGACAATTATTATTTGTTCACTTTATTCAACTACAATGTTTTAGATGTGCGCATATGAGAGGTAGAGTACATTAAAAAGTTATAATAGTATTGTTTAATAAGGACTAGAAGCTTACAGTTCCCTATCTGGGCGTCAAGAGCGTTTAAAATCGGTGGAGCAAGAAATAATGGTTTCAAACAAAAGGAGTTAATCGCCGCTGTCCCGAGGCGATCTTTGCTTATCTAATCGAATGTACGTGATGGTTTGTTAAAAGTATCACCCTACTACTATATTTCAGAGTGTTTGCGTTTCTTTCGGTAGTTGCTGCAAGCTACCCTTCGTACCTTGAGGCGGAGAATTTCGAGGGGCCAATGGGGAAGCTGTCACACAACATTGTGGGAACTTTATTTAGATACGAGACTTCAATGGATGCAATGTTCTGCATATTGAACTTTGTGTACAAGGGCATTATACTCGAGGCGCGTATGGGAACGAAGCGTTTCTTCAATATGGTCTGTAAATACCTCATCAAAAACTTTTGCCTTTTCTTGTATTTGCGGCGTGTTCTTCGCAAATCAAACTCGAATATGCTTTTCAGTATTTTCAGTACGGGGCCACTAACATTTTAATTGTTAAAAACAGAGTATATTTTGAATTCTTCATGGACAAACATGAAGAACCCTTTGAAACAGTGGTGAGCTATGGTAGATAAGAAGAGTTTTTTAGAATGCGAAACGCTAGGTGATGAAGTGAAACCAAATTTACGAGGAAGCGCAGCTCAGGAAAGCGAAAGTTCACTGTGTTAGAGGTCATAGAGGTTTTTGAGAATCTGTAAAAGAGCGAAGTGGCGTGTTTGGACAGTAAGTACCCAAGAAGCGCTGTTGTTTTGAATATCTGCATGCTGGCACTTCATCCTTTTAGTAGAAATAAGGTTCTCTTCTAGCTATTCCAAAAGAGAGGAGTGAGTCAAGCTCATCCTCGTAACGGCGTAAAATGTCAAGAGGAGCGTTTGCTACAAGAAGCTCGCTAGTCTGTTGACCAAGCATGTTTGGCTTCTTAGGGAACAGCGAAACAATTCCGAAAGAAACATGGGTTTCGAAGACAACGTTGAACGATTATAGCCTTCTAGCCTCTAATAAAATTAAGGCGCGCACTCGGTAAGCCACTGAGCACTTTGTACATGCTGTGTGTTCATTTAAACACACCATGTACAAAGTGCACAGTCAGTTGTGCGCCTAGAAATTAATCCTGCATACCCTGGCGTTGCATACCCTGGCGTATGTAGGTGTTCAATGGAGCGTGTTTTCCAGGTAGACTGCAACCTCACAGGAAAACAAGATAGGATAGATAAACGAACGCCAAAATGAAGTTTCAGGTAGTTGGGGTTAGTTGTCTCTTATAGGATGCTGCTTTCAGTAAATCAACAGGTTCTGGTATCTCGAGCTATCAATCCTCTAATAATCCTGCTTTTATCTTGCATATCATAGATGTCGAAGAGCCCTGGTACCGTCACACGTAATTAAGTTCCTAAGCCAACCTTTTTCTCGATAGTGTGTGTTCAATTAAAAAAAAGCTCGGGTTACAGCCTGCTGGGTAAATCGAATATGAGAGGATCATAAAGATAATTGAGTAACCCGAGCATGAAAATACAGTCGGCCTTCGTGAGTACGCATGCCAAGAAAGAATTACTTCTATGCTAGGTTACCGTTGCTCATCACACGTCCGAGATCCCGGTTTGAGCTTCTGGCAAAAGACGTCTTTCTTGAGAAGCAAGAGTTCACTGAATAATTGGTATTTTTTTTTAATACGGAGGCGTCAAGAGATAATGGTTAAGAAGTCGAATTAGTTTTGTTACTAACACAACAATTGACACCTATTACCACAAATTATATATAGATGCGCTTTCACAACCCAAACAAGGGATGTATACACAATAGGTGTGGGGAGATTTGTAAAATATACAATACAGCCAGCTGTCTCTTAGTATCATTCCTAAAGAACCTGGCTCTTGATTAGCTTTTACTAAACATGTATTTGAAAGATTACATAGTAGAATAAATAGGCAAGCAATCAGGTAGTCTAATTTATCAATTACTTGTTATTGCTGTTTTTACGTCACGTAAATGCATGATAGATGCTGTTAGTCAAATACCAGGTCTTTCTTAGCTCTCATGTAGCATATTGTTGTCTCCAACGAGATTTCACATAACCAATTTTTCTTATCTCTAACTGGAAATGTCGTTGGCGTAAGAGACCATACTGTATTATATTGCTTTACAATGTGTCTTAGCTGCAATGTTAATATAGAAATACCACGTTCTCAACACAGAACACTTATCGAAAATGTAGCATGCGACTCTGATAGTTGACAGGGTTTAACACAGTCATTGAGTTACCTTGAAATCTTTTGGTTGTCTTCAGTTATTTCTACTCGCACTTGCTATTGGAGTCCTGAAAAGCGTTCTCGAACAAGCCGGTATGTCGCTGATTGGAGGGATCTACCCGCTGCTTCTTAGTCTCAAGGTTTGATGTTATTTAGCATTTTTTAAAACCAGCCACTGGCTATTCTGTTCATTTTGTAACCAATTAGTCTTCAATTTTTTTGGGCAAACTTTTTACAATTCTCCTGTTTTGATGATAGTTTAAGTATATATAAATAGATCAGAATAGATAATAACGTTAGGGCTTAGCGCTTATTCAGCTCTAATTTCTAACGCATGTACTTTACATGAACATCAGTTATATTAGGTTGTTAAGAGTGAATCAGAACTGAGTAACTTTTGAACTGTCCTACGCTTGCGAACACAATTAGACTGGTAAACACTCCAGTTTTAAAAATGTGTGAGTGAAAACTGGTCGAGTTTACTAAATAGAAAAACATATGTTAAACTCGAAAATCAACGCTCAGTGGTGAAGTTTCTTTTCTTGAAGGTCACAGTGCTGCAGAAATTAATTGAAAATTGGTAAAGATATTCGGCAAGGAGACAATTAGCGATGGTGCAGACGTTTAAAGAGCGCGTTAAAGATCAACAAGGAGGTTTCAGTACTCGAGAAGAATAACTGCCCTAGTTGGAAGTTTTTCATGACTGCAGAGCTTGGAATCCAAGAGCTCTATTAGTCAAAACTAGTATTTCATAGTTGCCGAAATATAATCCAAACATTGAAAATGTGAAAACTGAGTAAAAAATGGGTACCCCGCGAATTAACTCCAGAACGGATGGAAATGCGTGTGATGTATGAAACGTACAATTGGGGAATTTCAATCAATATAAGAGCCTAAAACAGTTTAACCGCTACTGCCAGCTAGAGAGGGACTAGGCGAAAGAATAGCTTCGTTTTGGAGAAAAAGAATTTAATGATAGTTTCATGTTGGTTCAGACGAAAGGTGATGGTAGCTCTTGTAATAAAATCAGAAGCATCTGCTATTATGAGATACTCGCCGCAAATTGGACAATTAATGCAGGCGGCTGTCTAGACCGTAGGCTTGACAGTCGAAGACACGGTTACTTGATGACAGCGCCATCTTTAATTGCCATGCATCAGTTATTTCTTTGATTGAACAAAGGAATATATAACATTGGCTTGTTCTCTTGATCTAAGTCCTTATGATTACGGGGCTTTCGATGCTCTGAAAGAGCTGTCGGCGAGAAAGCATATCATGTCATCGACTTACTGTCGAAGCTATAGAGAAAGATATTACATAAGAGAACATGTTTGGTGGGTACGTGGCTGTTTCGAATGTGCCAGAATGCTGGGACGAGCGTATAAAAAATAAGAGTACCTCAAGCACATTTTTAATTATATTCTAGCTGAACTTGTTTGATTTGAGAAGTTAGTCGATTTAAAAGTACGTCGAGTTTACTTGCAACAGCGTAACATATATATGTATATATACAAAAACTAAGACGCACCCTTCTTTGTGTTAAAATTTTGTGCTTAGATCACTTTTAAGCATACAAGTTATATAGTAGCATCTTGAAAAGCAAACAGCCAAGCGTAGATGATAAAGGCTAAAAACAGATACAACTTAAATATTAATTAATTCGGGAAAAACTATTTTGCTCATCACTTATTTCTCTCATTATATTTTATCATAAACTACACCCTATTTTTAAACATCGTCATTTTCGAGTGAAATTGAAAAAATTATCACTATCTTAAGTGTGTAATGCATCCAGAAAAATGTAACATGTTATAAAAATATAAATATATCACATGCACTATCTTTGTTCCGTTTGCTGTTGTAATGTATATTATATATAACTGAATTTCTCGATGCCGATGGGGTATGGTCTGACGGATAATATTACAGGTGATTATTAACTACACGTGTTTGTTTCATCACCCAGTCCGGTACCCTATATTCCATCCGTTCCTTGTACGGAGGCTGCGATTCCTCGAGTATTTCATCGCACTTATTCGCACGCGCAGCCCTCAGGTATAGCTCAGGTATACTCAGATCCGTTTAGTATGCATGTATATATGCCACTGTGAATATATTAGATTGTCGTAAGCAAATCCGGCGGACTCTGAAGTTGAGAAACTTTTAAACTGCACGCCGCTGTAGGCTAAATTTAGCTGATAAATACTATAGTTTTCTGAAAACTTGTGAGCTAAGGCTGGTTCGGGTTTACTTTAGGAGAAATGAGTTTAGAAGGGAAATATTTATTGGTCTCAAAAGTCGACGCTAAGTTTTTCCTTATTAAAGGCCACAGTGCTGCGGAATTTGATCTAAAATTGGTGAAGACATAAGGCCGTAGGCGAAAACACATACAAATGTTTCGAGTGCGAAGATTGGGGTGTTAAAGGCCAGCAAGGAGGCAATCAGATGTTGAGACCCAAACAACAGAACGCATTGCCGCAATCGAAGTGTTCCATGAATCAGGGTTCTATAGGCCAAAACTGCTATCTTAGTAACATGCGATAGAATTGTAGCCCTGAAATAAAAAAATATACTGAAAATACGTCGCCTTGGAGAGAAATACTTAGGCGGCAGTGGCAGGTTCGGACGTAAGGTAACGGAATTGCAGTGGGCATCAAGGGCACCCGCTGTCATGAGATGCCCGCCGAAAATCTTCGCTGCTATCTGAGTTCCTTAATAGACTTATCGATCGTTCACAAAATAATGGAAAGCTCGCAGTCCAGTTACTTGATGACAACGCCACGCCTCACCATGTCTCAATTACTTCATGAAGTGAGTAAAGGAATATCCAACGTTCGCTTTAACGCCTTATTCTTTTGTTGTATGGCAGTGTGATTGCGGGACTTTTTATTCCCTGGAACGAAGTGCAACAATATCCCGCTACCGTTTTACTCTGAGAATCTATGAAGAGAAATTGGGAGCACGGATAGTAGATATTTGACTCTCCAGAAGCTACCAGAGTACTAAGATTAAATGCCTCAAGAAATCAAGAAGAATTATTCTAACACATAAAAATTAGTTTTAGCATACCTAGTTTAAAAAGGTTAAAAAAAAAAAATTTCACAGTCCGCCGGATTCGACAAAAAGTCCACTTTCTCCAATTATCGAAATCATGAAAAATCTAATGAATACAGAAACCATACGTGTAGCGAAAATCATACTACGGTCGAAGTAACTGAATGATCATAAGTTAGTTTTTGTTGTTTTATGGTGAAACTGCGCAATAATAATAATATAAAACTGCTGTCTAGGATGTTCTCGTAGGCGTCGGCGCAGGCACGACGTTGATTGTGTGCTTGAATGATCCGAAAAGCTTAATTCATCCATTGCTTGGCGAGGACGGCAGCAAGGTTACTGCTATCACGGCAACGAAACTGATCTTCCGTGGACACTCTGGTGGAATCTATCGATTTGTGAAATCTGTAACGCCTGATGTTATCACAAGCTTGTGGCTGGCATTTGTGCTAGTCAGTTACAATCTCGAACGCGAGTCTTTACCTGAAGCTATAGAACCGTTTTGGGTACTTGAAACCTTCAATCCGGAGTTTCCGATTACTTGGCTGTTACCGACAACGGGCGTCACAGGTATAAACCATCTTTTCTACCTGCTATTTTTGGTGTATCGAACGCCAGCGACGTTCCGCTCAGCCTTTAAAGACTTCAACGCGTCTCTCCTCTGTTTCTTTTCGGTATTGCCGCTATCGAGGCTATGCGGTTTGATGTTAGCTAACACCGCAAAAGAATGTGAGATGTTCGATCTGTATTGCCTTGATTTCCCTAGAAGAATCTCTGACTCGTGTACTGTTTTAGTGGCAGCCAACACGTTCGCTGAAATCATTCTACTCGCGCCCGACAATGCAGGAAAATTTATATGCAGGATTCTTTTAGAGATGGCAATGATTTGGAAGTTTTTTCCGGATATTTACATAATTGAGCTAATCGGGGCATACGGTGCAAGTGGCTTCCTTGCATGTCTCAGCCTGATTATCGACAAGCATCGAGATTATCTCGCAGATCCTCTAACAGGAACTCGTAAGGCGGATGTTTTGGTAAGAAAAAATCCTCGACGACAACTGGGATCGGTTACCGAGTCAAGCCCATCGGTAACTCCCCCCGAAGATTTGACCCCGCCCGTAACTGTCTCAAACCCGCCCGCATCTGGCGGACGGATCATAGGCGTCATGAAAGCTACCGTATCTGCCCTTTCGGTCGTTGTATCGTAGCGTGCGTCTCCATTGCAAAAGACAGCCTATTTTCACAAAGCGAGCCTTAAGAACCGCCAGTGACTGTTCGTTCACAGCCTTTACTTAAAAGCTGATGTTACCTAGCTGTCGATGTTATCGTGAAGATTATTCCAGAAGAACTTCATAGTTTATAGGCTAAAACCAATGAAATGGGACACTGGCAGTATAAGAATAGAACTTCGGTGGCATAAAATCGACCGTAAGCCTGTTAATTTATATAATGTATAGTTTTATAATAAATAAATTGATTTTTTAAAACGCGTTACTACCTGTGGCAGTGAGTTAAAACCTTTAAGAAGTATGTCAATTACAGATATAGAACTATGCTATACTGTATATACTGTGTAAGATGCTGTAGAATTAGAGATTTCATGCAACGTATATAAATATTTTTTCGACTTTATGGCCATTCCATGCTGTTATGTACGTTGAACGTTAACACACGTGATGTTTCATATCTCGCCCCATTATTTTAATATTCTCTCAGTAAAAACCATATTCGATAGTAATAGGCGATCTAAAAATTATATAAGTCAACGCATTGTATAGAAGGAAGCTCCTGCATTACACCAACCGGCCTCATGATTAGGGAAGTGGACTACATGTTTATGATGACAAAGATCTCGCTTGGCGTCATTTAGATATCATCTATTAAGAATAAATAACAAGGGCATTAAGCAATTTGCTTAATGCCCTTGTTAATCGAGGAAGTTTGAAAGTACTTTAATGATTGCCTTGTTTTTTGTAGCTTTTTCATTCAATTTCTCGCTCAATTTGAATACGGAGTTTGTCTGTCTAGATGTTTTTATCGATATCGATCTAACTTACAAATATTATAGATGGCTGGGCTGAGTTTCCTAGTAATGGGTAAAATTAAAAATATGCTGGGTCGTTAGCTTGCTTTGTTTACCTCGATGCTTATATCTAATTCTAATAAATAACACATAAATTTTCTTCAGGTTTATAAAATATTTATAGCTTTCGTTGAAGATGTTTCTTTAGAAGACCTTTTCGAGAAAAATGTCGGTGTCTGCCTTAGCAGGGTCATTGACGAAGACGATTACCCCTAACTACATGAACATGAAGCCCGAGGCCATCTTTGTAAGCATATTGCGATTGCATAACCATACCAAACGTTTCCGAGAGGTATATGTTTCCGGAATAGGCGACATAAAGAAAAGATCCTGCTGTATGTTCAGATTTCGGGTGATTACTGTTCGAGGTCTTGCAGTTTACTTGTTGTATCCAATTTGGCGCTTGCAATGGTATTTAAAATGACAGGCACGATTCAGTGATTTTGAACGGTTGGATAACACCGGCAAATTTTGTTAAATATCATTTGAAATACTCGCTGGTCACGACATATTTCTGTGCTTTCATTAGAGATACCAGTTTCGTGTTCATGCCAAATAAATGAGATTCAGGTCCCGTATGAAGTTAGGCCAGGCGTTCTCTACGCTCGCATTAAAGTTCGAAAGAACCGTTCAGCCAGATGTGAACACTGTGAAAAATAGCTTCGTTAGAATCTAAGTGCTGAGAGAACTGGTAGTTGTTTAAAGAGGCGTTACTCAAATCGTGCTCTTCATCGATGGTGTAGTGTTCACGCCGAGTTTTGATGATCTTAGAATTAGGTGTGCAGTTTCCTAATGCAGCATCAACAGGTATCTCCTTCAGAAGCTTAGCTCAGGGTCAGTGAACTTTTCGGAATTTTGTAAAATAAACGGACTAGGCTAGTAGCATGTGTCTTTACCTCAAGCATTAGTTCAGCATAAATAAGCCTGCGTCCCAACTTAGCGTCCACAATCCTATCCACGCCATTTACAGGCAATACTTCCCAAGCTAACTGTACCGGCTCTGTTACTCTGGCTGCTAAACAGATGAATTAAACTCATAAAGAGATTATTAACGCCATGAGACGGAGCGGTGAGCCAATTCAAAATACTCCTCTATTTGATTAATTCCGTCTCTCTTCCGTAATCTCGCCATTGGTTAGATACTATTGAATCTATTGGTATGAGGTTGCTTTGCAAGCACGCTTAGCAGGCATGCAGTAGTTTTCCACACATCTGTCGAGAACCAGCTCATATTCTTTTTAAGCCGATCGTATTACTAAGGGCAAAAATCCTTTGGCAGGCTGCAACGTTTTTTGATGAACGGCAGAGCAATCTTAAAGCACTAGTAAAGCACTTCATGGATCCACTCCGTGATGCCAGTATACGGATGATAATGGCTGGTGTTCTTTATGTAATATAATGATTTCGTGTTAATCTGTGGCGAAAATATCATTACATTTGCTATAATTGTTTACAGTAATATTGATAATTATAGAAATAAAAATACCAGAAATTATATTCAAAGCTCCATTCAAGCATTCCTAATTAAGTGAAGCAACAGTGCGAAACGCGAGGTATAGCATCTTTCTGATGTCTAAGAATGTTCAATATTCGATGCGAAACAAGCGATCCGAGATGAATGGCAATCAGAGGTACTTCCGGTGCGATAATGACTTTTGATTGTAATTAATATTTGTCATTCGCCCATTTTCTATACTTGAGCTTTGCAAACATCACACAATATGTAATAAAGATTGAGAAACGCTCTGACATAAAACATTTTACTTTGAATTATAATTTTCTTAAAAAATCTTCTACAAAGAGTCTAACACAAGAGTCTTCTACAAAGAGTACAAAATATATATATATATATATATATATATATATATGCTGAGTTTGACTCTTTGTAGAAGATTTTTTAAGAAAATTATAATTCAAA